TTGTGCTTGAAGACTTGTCGCCTGTGCCACCGCCGCGGCCGCCCTGCTCCCGGTGGCAGATAATAGCCCAAGTCGAAGAGTGCGCCCAGCTCTCGGTATCTGGGTGGGCAGGCGGGACTAGAGAGGCACGCTGGTGCACGGTTGGGGGCGAGAGCCGCGCCATCTTGGACCGTCAGGCGAGTATTTGCAACCGGGAGCTCGCTGCCGCCCCTACTCCGCCGCCGCCGCCCTCCCGAGGGCAGATAATAGCCCAAGTCGAAGAGTGCGCCCTGCTCTCGGTATCTGGGTGGGCAGGCGGGACTAGAGAGGCACGCTGGTGCACGGTTGGGGGCGTGAGCCGCCATCTTGGACCGTAAGGCGAGTATTTGCAACCGGGAGCTCGCTGCCGCCCCTACTCCGCCGCCGCCGCCCTCCCGAGGGCAGATAATAGCCCAAGTCGAAGAGTGCGCCCTGCTCTCGGTATCTGGGTGGCAGGCGGGACTAGAGAGGCACGCTGGTGTGGGCGAGGGCACTGACGGCTGTGAGGCGCTGCCACGCCCATGGAGGCGGAGCCGAACGAAGTAACCACACACACCAACCACACGACCACCACCAGGCGAGGAGACGCCTGCCTCGCCCTGGTGTGGGGAAGGATAGGCGCCGCCACCTCTGTGAGATGGAAACACAGAAAAGCGCTGGGCTGCCCGGGCGAGGGTCAGGGAAGGAGCCACCCTGGTAAGGGCGTCGGCTCTCCCTTCATAAGCCCGGGCAGCGACAGCGCGGTGGGGCGCCTCACCGTCCCGAGCCCCGCCCGCGGTGCGTGAGGGTCACGCGGTGCGAGCGAGGCAGGTCGGCGGGGCTAGGCCCCGCGGGCGTCAGTTGCCGCCCTTCTTGACCTTCGGGTTTCCCGCGAGGAAGACGGGGCACTCAGGCTTGACGTGTCCCTCCTCGCCGCACCAGTAGCAGGTTTTGACGCTGGACTTGCCCGCCCGCTTTGCCGCCTCCTCGGCCGCCGCCGCCTTGGCCTTGGCCTCTGCCGCCGCCGCCTCTGCCTTGGCGAGCCGCACATGTCCCCGTTCACAGATGAACTAATTCTCACGGCTGTAGCCTGTACACTGTTGTACTAATTGTTTTGCCGTCCGCGAGCCCCCAGCTCGCCGGCGGCGAGAGAGATGCCACGAGGGGTCGCGGTGGCGTCCATCGCCAGGCTCCCTAGCTCAACCGACGACCCTTCGGGATCGACGGCCGATCGTCATCGCCTAGGTGGGTAAGAGATGAGGAGATGCATGGAACAGCCCGAGGAAGAAGCTAACTCTGCACACCTCGCCGGTCTCCCGCACGCTCCTGAGGGCCGAGAGGGCCGAGAGGCGGGGTCGGTGACCCGGGGGCATGGGCGGTGCGGCCCGCGCCGCGCGCGGGCGCGTGGCAGCCCGTGAGTGCCGAGATCGGGTCGACGTAGAGCAGGGCCCCCGGGGGCCTCCACGATGGGGGACTAGCCCTAGCCGTCTTCCACGTGGTCCCTCGGGTCCCTCGTGCGCTGCTCCTAGATCTCTTCGTACATCCTCCTCCCTCCTGGGTCCTGCTGATATCTCCGCGAAGTCCTGCCTCCTTCCCTCGTCTCGCCCTGCGCGTCTGCCCTAACTCTCCCCCGAGCCCCGTCGTCTGCCGCTCTGCCCTGCCCCCTGCGTCGTCTGGCGACGGGTCCTCCATAGTCGGTTGAGGTCGCCGCCCTCCTCGTGGTCGTGCCCCGTTTGTCGTTTGTGTACAACGCAAGGTGTATGTTGAGAACTTTTATGTTGAAAAAATGGCATGCGTGGACAGTGTTTGTAAGTGCGCAGTATTGGCCATGTGTACACGAATCGTACTGCTTGTGGTGAGACGGCACAATAAACCATCGCCCCCGCGAGAGTGCACAGCGAGGGTGTGCAGCAGAGGGCGGGGGGTCAGAGCGAGAGGGCGACTCGGAGCCGGCTCACCGCGGCCCCATCTCCTTCGCCGCCCTCCTCCCGCCGCCCGCCGCCTCAGGCGAGCGCCATGGGCGGCTCCGGGCCGTCCCCCTCGCCGCCCTCGCCGCCGCTCTTGTCGTCCGCGCCGTCGCCCTTCTTGCCCTCCTCCTCCTCCTCGCCCTCCTCCACCCCCTTGGGCGCCTGGTCCTTGATCTGCTGCAGCCGCTCCGCGCGCGCCGCCGCCTTGGCCTCCTCCTCCTCCTGCCTCCGCTTGGCGTTGGCGATGCCGTCGAGGCGCGCCTGCTCGAGCAGCTTCTTCAGCTCCGCCTCCCTCTCCTCGGCCGTCTGCTGCGGCAGCTTGGCCTCCTCGCTGTCCTTTTTCGCGGCCGTGGCGGCGGCGGCGGCGTCCACGGCCGCCGTCTCGCTAATGACGCCATCGAGCAGCGCCTGAGGTGTGGGGGAAGAGGGGGAGGGCAGCGGTGGGGAGGCGGCGTGAAGAGGGCAGTCTCGACCCTGGCTCCCTCGCCACTACCCGGCTTCATCTCGGCTGCACCTCACGTCGGCTCCGTCTCGGCGCCTCGGCTGCCTCTCGGCTGCCTCTCGGCTCTCTCTCGGCTGCCTCTCGGCTGCACCTCGGCTGCACCTCGGCTGCACCTCGGCTGCATCTCGGCTGCATCCCGGCTGCATCTCGGCTGCACGTCGGCTGCATCTCGGCTGCATCCCGGCTGCACCTCGGCTGCACGTCGGCTGCATCTCGGCTGCATCCCGGCTGCACCTCGGCTGCATCCCGGCTGCATCTCGGCTGCATCCCGGCTGCACCCCGGCTGCTGCACCCCGGCTGCACCCCGGCTGCACCTCGGCTGCACCTCGGCTGCACCTCGGCTGCACCTCGGCTGCACCTCGGCTGCACCTCGGCTACCTCTCGGCTGCATCCCGGCTGCGTCCCGTGCCTTGGCCTCCTCGCGGCGGTCGCACCCCGCGCGGCGCATCTCGCGGAACTGCGAGTCGTCGAGGTTGGGGCAGAGGGAGAAGAGGCGGCCGGACGCCTCCGGCAGGGTGAGCGCCTCTGTGATGAAGCGGAAGACGTCGTCCTTCGGGAGCTCTGCGCAGGTCGGCTCGTCGAGCGCCTGGGACGGGAAGGGTGCTCCCTCCAGGACTCGTCTCTTCTCTGCTTGCGGGAACGCGCCCGGGCGGCTGGGCGGCGAGGCTCGGGAGAAGGCTAAGAGCAAGGTGAGGAGAAGGGGTCGACGAGGGTCAGAGAGGTGTTGCGCGCAGGTCGGCCTCGTTTCCCGTTTGCGATAGGAGAGAGGGAAGGGAGAGGCAGGGAGAGGGCGAGGGAGGGAGGGAGGGAGGGAGGGAGGGAGGGAGGGAGGGAGGGAGGGAGAGAGAGAGAGAGAGAGAGAGAGAGAGAGAGAGGTGTCAGGGCAGGGATGTGAGAGAGAGCGCGCACAGAGAGCTTCAGCCCACCGCCGAGCCCGCCCGCGGTGAGCGAGCCGGCGCGCATCACCGTGTACTCGGCCCCGCACGCCTCGAGCGCCGAGTGCAGCGCCTACACACATCGGCATGTCGCGGGCGCGTCGTGGACATGTCCGGGAAGCGTCCTCCCTCGGCGGGCCGCACGGCCGCGCCTCTTGGTTGGCGACGGTCGGGCTGGGGCCGTCGGCGCCGAGGTGGACGAAGACGCGCCGCACCCCCGCTGCCTTGGCCTGCGCCAGCTGCCCCTCCAGCGCCGCCTCCTCCGCATTGACCGCGAGCCACGTCGTCGCGCCCGCCATCGTGTCGCCGAGCGGAGACTCGCTGAAGTGGAGGACGTCGATGAGGCCCGAGTAGCGGGCCTGCCGCGAGAGGAGCATCTTCTTCGCATCCGCTGTCGACGACGAGCACGCCGTGATCTTATCGAACGCGCCGTGGTCGTGCAGCAGCTGGAAGAGGCCGCGGCTAGCGTAGAAGGAATCGGTGCCGTCCGTCACGACGATCGACTCTGACATGAGCGAGACCGCGTGCCGCTGCGGCACGAGGAGGCGCCGCGGCGCGGGCCGCTGCTGCGAGGGCGCCAGCAGCAGGCCTGCGAGCGCGCCACTGATGACGAGCATCGATCGCTATAGCGTCCTGTGCCAAGATGCTCTGTAGAGCGATCCAGAGTTTCTTTCTTCCTTAATGTCCCAGCCCTTGTCCAACCTGAGGGTTTTCTTTCTGTCTTTTCAAAGGGCCAGAGTGCAGGTGCAGAGAGAGAGATGCGACAGTCCTCTGCTGTGAGAGGGGAGGAGGATGCTGCTTGTCTCTGTAGAACTCTTCTTCTGCGCGAAGTCTTTTTTAAGAACCTGCAACTCTCGGTTCGCTCTCTCTGCTGCAACTGTCTCCGAGAAGATTAAATGTGGAAGAAGTGTAAATTACCAACAGAGTCGAGGACCACGACCTCGTCCTTGTCCTCATTTGCCGGAACGACCACCGCTGTAGATATCGGAAACCCCGTTTCGAGCGTTATGCTATGCCTCAACTTGCCGTCCGCCGCATTGACCACCTGGAGATCAGACGACTCCCTGCAGCACACAAGGAGCAGGCCGTTGTGCCATGCCAAGTGCATACATGAACTTGGTAGCTCGATCTCCCGCTGAAAGGCGTAGCCCTTGCCGACCTCTGTCGGATCCTCCTCGCCCATGTAGCTTTGTACGGATGTCACGGCAACCAGGTCTGTGCGCTCCTCCCTTGAAAAGACCTTGGCCGCCACCTTCGCCTCCGTGCCAGTGACAACGAAGGCCTCCTCGTTGCTCAGTGCAAGTCCTCGCACGTGCAGCCCGGGCGGACCGGAAACAGGGGCGCCGAGATCGGAGGCTGGGATGTGGCCGGTTTTGGTTCCGGTTGCGGCCTGCACCACTGTGATGAATGGCTCGTGGTTGTCTCCGCCTCTCACGATCCACAGCTCTCCCCGGCTTAGGCATAATTTGTTCGGCTCCGTCATCTCGGCTGAGCCTTCATCCCCGAACGATCCACCACGCTCGACTACGAATGGTTCGTGTGATGTGCCCTTGAGCTTGCCCCATTTTACGTGGTCGTATCGGCCTTCTGCGAGGAAGAGCCGGTCCTCTCCAGTTACCGTGCCACACGCCATGCCATGCGCACGCGGGAAGGGCGTCTCCATGTCGCTCAGGCCTGGCACTTGGCGCAGCTTCAGAGTAGCACAGTCAAGGACGAAGAGATTGGTGTGGTGATCGGTGTTGGCGAGCAGCAGGCAGCCACTCGCTGCCCCGCTCCCGGCGGTGAGGAACTCGCACCTTGGCACTGGGTCCAAGTCCTTGGCGAGCAGGAGGCGCGTCCGGGTGGGCATACACACACGTGCTGGCCCCACGGCGACGTCGCGCCACTGGTCCGCCCTGTCGCTCGCAGCCTACCCAGGTACGAGGCTGATTCGTAACGCCAGTGCCCCATGTTTGCTCAAGGCTGGATGAGGGTGTTTGAGTTTCCCGGTCTTTTTCAGTGTATGTATGTACTTTTAGCTCTCTCTCTCTCAGTGTATGTAGCTCTTACGAACATACCCGTAGGTGAACTGCTGACAGGGTTTGCGATGAGGAGCGATCCGAACGTGGTATTCGGGTGATTAGATCACTACCGCCGAAACGCAAGAGCACTGCGACGCATCGATCGTTTTTCAGTAACTGTAGCTCTTTTCACTGTATTTTTCTCTTACGTACATTCCCGTAGGAGGACTCTGCTGACAGGGTTTACGATGAGGAGCGACCAGAAGGGTTTTTTGTTCCCGACTTCTCCGCATGGGGAGCCCCGGGTATACTCTTTAGCTGTCTCGTCTAGGCAGGGGTTCCGGCTTTTCCCGCCCGCGCTTCCACCCCTCTCTTGCCCTTTTTCTTTTTGTGCGACTCTTTTTTTACCTTTTAGTTACTACCTTTCCCGGAGGAGGCGCTGCTGACCGGTGAGTGCAACTTTTCCAACAATCGCTGTCGTGGGATCGCTTGTCATGTGAGGCCGAGCGTGAGTGAGTCACTGCGGAACTGGGAGTTTACCTTGTGCAGGGCGTGAGCTGCCGCCGGACCCGAGGCGTGAACCACCGCCTTGGGCCCGCGAACCGGCGATATGCAGCGTGTTCTGCAGCCTTTGACGCAGGTCGCAAGAAGAGCGACTGCCACTCCCCGGGCCGGGCCCTAGCGAGCGGGCGCATGGCGCCCGACGCTCTGCCATGACCTCCGGGAGGTTGAGTGGCGACCTCGGTGAGGTTTACTTAGTTTGTTCTACGGAGTGACAGCACCTCCGGGCGGTATTAGAACTTTGATTGTTACTCAAGACAGCACCTCCGGGCGGTATTAGAACTTTGATTGTTACTCAAGCCACACAGAACACCCGCTTACTAGCCTACTTTTCAGCGTTTCCGGGCTCGCAAAACCCGGCGGGTGCAGCGGCGCAAGACCTCTCGGAGGTCGCAGGCCGACCTCGGGGAGGTCGGGGAAAACCCCCGTTCGGCTATCTACTCGCTCCCCTCACTATTCACAGACACTACGGCTGTACTCACAGTGGCTACTGAGACTGTTCACACGTGACGTTCACACCTGGGGGACCAGGGTGTATCCGCAACTTGCGCAGAGTCACACACACACACACACACAGGCCGCGCGCTGTGTTCTTGTTTCTATCCTTGTCTTTTTTCTTTTTCAGTCTTTTCAGTTACCTTTCCCGGAGGAGGACGGACAACGCCGTGTCAAAATTCTTCTCTGCTCTATCGGCGCCGGCCGCAAACCACACCTGCCAAGAGCGCTCGCGCTCCATGGCGCAGAAGAACGATGTCCGGCAGACGCTCCAAGCCTCCATCCTCGCGGCGCTGCGTGGCGTCACCGGCGAAGACCAGTTGACCGTCCTCCTGCTCGATGACACGATGCGGCGGGTCGTCAGCCGCTGCTGCCGGCTCTCTGAGGTGATGGCGGACGCCAACATCACGCTGGTGGAGCACATCCTCGCGCCCGAGGCGAAGCGCGCGCCGCCGGCGATGGCGGCCCACCTCTCCGCCGTCTACCTCATCGCTCCGACCGAGTCGAGCGTCTTTGCGCTCGAGCAGGAGCTGACCACGCGCCGGCGGCTCTACGGAGGCAAGAGGCACATCCTGGTCTCCTCGGCGCTGCCGGGCCCGCTGCGGGGCACGCTGCGAGTCCTCTCCGCCGGCGGTGCGCTCGCTTCGCTCCGCGAGGGCGTCGCGGTGGAGGCGCTGGCGCTGCACGCCGGCGCGTTCTCACTCGACCGGCCGTCCGCGCTCCGCCGGCTGTACGGGCCTCCGCCCCCGCTCAACGAAGACAACATCGAGGCGCGGCTGCTGCAGGGCGAAGACGAGGCGGGCGGCGAGCGCGCGGCGGCCGTGTCTCATGCAGCCGAGCAGCTCGCCAAGCTCTGTGCCTTGCTCGGTGACGCGACTCCGTCGGTGCGGTGATAAGAGAGAAGGCGGATAGAAACCAAGAACACAACACGACGGTGGCGGGGGAGCCTACACGAGGGGTAGAGGGGCACGCCCGCGCAACTAGGCGACACAGGCACCCCAAATGGCGGCCGTGCCAGAGGGACACCGAGGCGAAGAGCAGCCCGCCGGCTAGTGGACGCCGGCGCGTTTAGGGTTGGGGGTGGTGGGCAGAGGAGGACGTCACGCTGGAGCCGCACACACACACACGAGCTCGACACTCATCCTCATAGGTGCGGTACCGGGCGCGTGACCACCCGGTGTCCAAGGCGCTCGCCGCTGCTAAAGCTGCCTGCCTCCCTCCCTTCCCCTCTCCTGCCTACCCGCCTCCCTCTCCCTGCACGCACACACACGCACACACACGCACGCACGCACGCACGTAAACCCGCCTGAGCGCACGCACGTTTGTCCAAGGCGCTCGGCGTGGCTCTGGTGGCGGCGACGCCGGCAGCGCGCGCGGGAGCCGGAGGGGAGGCGTCGGGAGGGGCGGGCGGCGAGGCGGCGGCGGCGGGGCGCCGGAACGTGTCCGTGTTGCTCGTCGATCGCTCCTCCGACCTCTTCACGCCGCTGCTGCACGATTTTGGACTCGAGGCGCTCGCCGAGGCGCGGGGTGTGCTGCGGGAGGGTCGCTTCCGGTGCCGAGAGGAGCCGAGAGGAGCCGGGAGGAGCGGGGAGTAGAGAGGAGGGCTGCGGAAGGGGCCTTCGGGCGCCGCGTCTTCGGCTTCAGCCTCAGCAGCCGCGGCCGAGCCTGTGCGCGACCTCCCATTCTTGTCGACGTGTCTCTACTGTGGCTAGGCGCGACCCGACACGCAAGTCTGCGGCGGAGGAGAGGTCGCAGCATTCTTCTCCCACCGACCGCCGACAGCGAATCCTCTGTCCACAGGTCTGCGGCCAAGAACGGCCCGTCCCAGGTGCTGCTGGGGGGCGGAGGCGGCGACGAGGTCTGGGAGGGGATCCGCTTCCAGACGCTCGACACCGTGGAGGAAGCGCTGTTCGCGTCGACGCGCGCCTTCGTCGCCGAGAACAAGGCGGTGGAGGAGGCGCGGAGCCGCGTCGCGCCCTGACATCTCCTAGACATGTCCTAGACATTGCCTAGGCGGTGGAGGAGGCGCGGAGCCGCGTCGCGCGTGGCGAGGAGCTCTCGACCAAGGAGATGGTGCAGGTGAGCCGGCCGGATTCATCAATGATTAAATGGTTCTCCTCCCCCCCCTTTGAGTGCCGTGCGGCTCCTGTCGTCTAGACGTGGAGTCGCGAGGGCTGCCTGGCCCTTGCCCCACCACCTTGTGTGGTGTGGAGAAGTGTACCTCACCTCACCTTACCTGGTGCAGGTGAACCGGCGGCTCGCGTCGTTGTCGTACAAGCGGAAGGAGGAGGCACTCAAGGCCGCGCAGCAGCTACGAGGAGAGGACGGGGCTCTGCGCACCCCTCCCGCCCCTCACGCCTCGACTCGTTCACACCTCAGGTCGCGGACGAGGTGCGGGAGAGCGTCATGTCGCTGCTGATCGCCCCCGCGCCGCTGCCGACGATCGGAGGTCCGCAACTCCGCCCCGCCGCGGGGCATCAGCCGAGATCAGCCGAGATCGGCCGAGACTAGGCCGAGATCGGCCGAGATCAGCCGAGATCGGCCGAGACTAGGCCGCCCTCCGCCCGCCGCGGAGGACACGCCGCTGTACAAGCTCATGATGCTCGAGCAGGATTTGGCCACTGGCCGCGACGGCGCCACCGGAGCAGCCATCAAGCAGGCACGATCTCGGCGGATCTCGGCGGATCTCGGCGGATCTCGGCGGATCTCGGCGGATCTCGGCGGGTCTGTCAGCAGGCCGAGACCCTCTCCCGCATCGTGGGTACCCTTGTCGACCCTCTCTCCGCGCCGCCGCCGAGCGCCCGCAGCACCACGCGCGCTTCGACCGACTCGGCGCCCTTTCCTCGCGCCCGAGATCGCCCGGAGATCGCCCGGAGATCGCCCGGAGATCGCCCGAGCTTAGGCGCGCGCGGCGTCCTTCTCTGCATCCGCGCCCGCGGCCGAGTCGACCGGCGGCACGGAGGGGGCGGGGGCGGAGGCGGAGGCGCCGAGGGCCGCGGAGGTGGAGGTGCTCGAGCGGCAGCTGTGGGTGTGAGCAGCGTCTCTTCACACCTCCCCGTTGGTGTGTCGACAGGCAGAGGAGGTGCTCGAGCGACAGCGGCTGCTGTTGCTCGCGTCGCTCGCGCTGCCGCTCAGCGACAGCGCCCGCCGCCCCATCACCCGCGCGTCGGCCCTCGACAGCGAGCAGCTCGAGGCGGCGTCTCGCGCGGCATCTCCTCCTGCCTCGCGAGTCGGGCGAGGTGAGCCGAGGTGAGCCCAGAGTAGGCCGTGTCGCGCGGCCTCTTCTGCCTCGGGGCGCGCCCCGGCCGGCGAGGCACTGGCGGGGCCCCGAAGCCTCCTCCGCCCCCCGGCACGGCGCTGCTCTGCCGCCACACCCCCGCGCTGGCGCCGCTGCTCCGCTCCGCGCTCGGAGGGGGGAGCGGCTTCACGTGGCCGCTGTCACGCCGCGTGCGGGGGTGCGCGTGAACGGCGTCTCTTCACACGCGGGTGCGCGTGTGTGCAGGTGGCTGCGCCGCCGCGTAAGAGAGCCGGGAGACCGCGGCGCGGCGGGCGGGTCGGCGCGGCCAGACTTGGCCGCAGGTAGGGTGGGCTCGTGGGCGCTGCGGGGCAAGGCTGGCTCCGACCGGCCCGGCAAGCCGCTGGTGCTCGTCTTTATGGTGGGCGGCGCGAGTCACGCGGAGGTGAGGAGTTGGAGTGGGCCTTGAAATGGCGTCCAACACTTGAAATGGCGGGGGGGGGGAGGGGGGGGGGGGAGGCTCTTGCCTGCTGTCGTGGAGACGCGAGGGGGAGGGCCCGAGTCCTTGGCCCCTCACGCGCGCGCGCGGAGACGGGTACCCGACCCCAACCCTCCCTCAGGTGCGGTGCGTGCACGAGGTTGCTGCGGCGACACACCACTGTGACCTGCTCTTCGGCGCGACGGCGCTGCTCACGCCGACGCAGTTTGCGCGCGAGCTGGTCTCCGCTGCGACCTGCGGCGCGCTGCCCTCTCACCGCTGAGCGGCGCCCCGTCACGCGTCGAGCTGTGAACAGGTCTCGATGGAGCGGATGCCTCCGCTGAGCGCCGCACCGGTGTCTGACGATGAGGCGGAGTGAGGGAGGGCGACGAGGCGGAGGGAGACAGCGCTCGCCGACCCTGGGAGAGGAAAGGATGACAAGGCGAGGGGTAGTTAGTGTGGGACAACCATGGTTGCTCATCCACGTGCGCCGGGCCTTGCATTAAATGCACCGCGCTCCGCGGGGCTCCTCCTCACGCGCATACACACATGACACTCGGGCGGCCTTACTTACCATCCACCTACCTACCTGGGGTGCGTTTATGTGAACATCAACAACGCTGCCCGCAACATGCGTGTCGCGCGCACTCATATTCATGACCGGTCTCAATGTCCCACCCCCCTGCGCGCGGGCCTTCTAGGCCCGCGCGCCGCGGGTAGCCTCCCCCCCATCCGCATCCCCGGGGCGGGGGGGCCTCCAGGGCTCGCACCTCAACCTCTCACAGAGTAGGCTAAATACACTATATAGACCTCAACCTCTCACAGTACGCAGAGTAGGCTAAATACAGTGTGATCTGTGATCTGTAAGGGTCCGCCCGCAGGCGCATTTTGTATACCGAGGCGGTGTGCCCGGTGCCGAGCGCAGGCAGAGCCCACAGGTCGGACCTCTTAAGACAGCGTTGTAAGATCCCTGGGCGAGGCGGCGAGGGTGGTGGAGGGGGGGGTCCGGCGGCGGAGCAACCACCTCCTCCCGGCGTGCCGGGAGGCAGGATGTCATCCCCCGTGATCCAGACCGCCCCGTTGGAGGTAGACCGCTCGTCTAGCCAATCAGCCTTAAGCGAGCGGTCTGGCCGTTGGAATGGCCGAGTTTGGTGTGGACTTGCGTCCTCGCATCGATCGTGGTTACAAGCACCACTCAGGGAGGCGGCTGTCCCCGCAGGCGAGCCTCAGTTACAAGCCGCCTCCCCTCCTCACGGCGTCACGGGTTGTAGACGTGTGCCGCTGGGATCAAGCCAGTACGCCCGAGGGCGACGGTCCCCCGGTAGTAGACGTTGGCGCCGAGGAGGGAGGAGTCGCTGAAGGACGGGTAGTCGTCGATCATGCGGGGGGAGGAGGAGTCGGCGAGTAGCGGGGATGAGAAATGCCTGAGAGGGTGGGGAGGGAGGCGTGAGGCGCGAGGTGAGGGGGCGCGGGGCGCGGGGTGTGCGTGGGACGCGCGGCGTGAGGCGCAGGGCGTGAGGCGGGAGGGCGCGGGGCGCTCGAGTGAGGGCAGGGTGTGTTTTGTGTGTGTGTGTATGTGTGTGTGTATGTGTGTGTGTGTGTGTTGGTTTGTTTGAGAGAGAGATTTTTAGCAATACCAAACAAATCTAACACTCATGCGAGGGCTGGGCAGGGCAGGGCAGGGCGGCGGCGAGCGGCGAGCGGCGTCGGCGAGATCGGCGACGAAGAGAGGCGATGGTGACGTACACGGCGGCAGTGTTCACGGCAGCAGCGCCGGTGGCGACCCCGCGCAGCGGCGGCAAATTGTTCCCACAGCAGGCTCCGTCACGGTGTCGCCTCTCAGGCCGGCCTCTCAGAGATGTCCGAGCGACAGCTCCGTGCGACTGGCGTCCGCGTGCTGCGCCGGTGCCCTCTCGCTCACGGCGAGCTCGTCGTCTCCGCCGGCAGCGTGCTCGACTTTGGCGGCGGCACCGGCTGGCCACCATCATCCATCGCCATCGTGAATGCAGCAAACTGCGGTGCCGCACCACCACAGACGGCGAGTTCCCATCCGCCTTCGACCGTCTGAGCGCTGGCGATCCACTCTCAGGCGGGCTCGGCGGCGGCGGCGTAGATGGAGCCATCACCAGCGCCGGCGGAGCAGCGCTCGCCGCCGACCGGCGGGCACTTCCCATCCTGCCTGGCACTCGCTTGGCGAGGAGTCCTAGATGCTCGCATCCGCTATCAGGAGCACTATTGCTAAAGACGTCGTACTGATCATTCAACCCGCTATTCCTGGCTGCGTATGACGTAGTCAACAGATCGCGCCATTTCGCCACGCGCAGGACCGGATCGCCACGGGCGGCGCCGTGCTGACCGGGCCAAGGAGCTGCGGCTCGCTGCAGGCCGAGCTGCGAGCATGCGAGTCGTCTCTTCACGGCTGTGCGTCTGTCCGATAGAAGCTACGGCTCGCTGTACGCCGGCAATGTCATCCACGCCGTCGGCCCAAACTACCGCGTGCTCGTCGGCTCGGGGCGGTCGGCGGAGGAGGGCGACAAGCTGCTGCGCGACGCCTACCGCACCTCGATGGCCGCGGCAGCCGCTGCCAGCGTCGCGCACCTGGGCTTCTCTCTGCTGTCCGCGGGCATCTTCCGCGGCCCGCGCTCGCTGAGCCACGTGCTTAGGCGCGGCTGCTCATTTCGGCGGGTCTCGGCTCACTTCGGCTCACCTCGGCTCACCTCGGCTCACCTCGGCTCACCTCCGCTGCGTGCCCAGGGTTGGGATGGAGGCGGTGGCGGAGGGGGCATACCCGGGGCTGGCGGAGGTGCACCTCGTCGCCTTTCTGGAGTCGGAGCAGCGGGAGCTGCTCGCGCTCCTCGCCGAGCTTAGGGCTGGAGGCGGCGAGGCTGGGGGAGGCGAGGCTGGCGGCAGCGAGGCTGGCGGGAGCGAGGCTGGGGGAGGCGAGGCTGGCGGCAGCGATGCTGGCGGCAGCGATGCTGGCGGCGATGCTGGCGGCGATGCTGGAGGCGGCGCTGGAGGCGCCTTCTCACCGGACGAGGTTCGAAGAGCCGGCCAGCTGCATGTTGTCCGCCACGAGTGTGCCCAGCGCCTCTTCACACTTGCAGGCATGAACAGGTGCTGGCGGACCGAGCCAACCACGTCTCCGCGTCGGACGCGGCGGGCAGGCTCCCGCCTCTGCTGGTGGCCACTCTGGAGACAGTCGACACCGCCGCCGCCGCCAACGCCGCCAACGCTACCGCCAATGCCGCCGCCACCAAAGACGCCTCCTCTGCCGGCTCCGCTGCCTCGCCCTCCGCCGCTGCCTCCACCTCCGTCGCCGCCGCCGCCGCCGCCGCCGCCGCCGCCGAGGCGCGGCCGCAACGCAGCAACAGGCGCGCACACGCCTCCGCTGCCAGCGCGAGGGCGGCGGTTTTGGCGGCGGCGGAGGCGTCGGAGGAGGCGGCGGAGGAGGCGGCGCAGGAAGCGGCGAGCGCGGAGGGGGAGGGGGGCGGAGAGGGCGACGGTGCGGCGGAGGCGGAGCAGGCATGGCGTTTGGCTGACGCGCCGTACGCCTGGGCCGCAGCTCGGCTGCATTGCTTGTGGGCCGCGTCTCTCCACAGGTTGAGCTCTGCGGGTAGGTGTACCTGGGAGCACCTCGACCACACCGCGGACGTGCAGCTGCACGCGTGGGGCACTCGGCTGGAGGAGGCGTTCGAGCAGTGCGCGCTCGCGATGTTCGCACTGATGACGGAGCTCGAGACAGTCGGTGTTTGGCTCCCTCCCTCCCCCCCACCCCACCCCCCCACCCCTCTCTCTACGCCGGTCGATGCCGTGCGAGTGCGAGCCGCGTCTCTTCACAGCTGCTCCTGTGAACAGGCTCGTGCTCGCCGTGACGGAGGTGTGAGTGAGAGCAGCGTCTCTTCACGCCTCGAGGTGTGGGCAGGCGTGGGGCTGCCGGCAGCACCGCCGGTCGAGGTGTGCGCCCAAGGGCACGACCTGCACTCGCTCCTCTTCCAATTCCTCGACGAGTGCGCGCTCCTCGCTCCGCGGGGCGCGCGGGGGTGAGCGGCGTCTCTTCACGCCTCGAGCCGTGAACAGGTGGCTCTTCCGCTTCACGGGCGGCGGCGGGTTCGTGCCGCGGCGGCTTCGCGTGGTGTCGTTGGATCGCGCCGCCTTCCGCGTGCGCTCTCTCGCCGTTGGAGAGTGCTTCGAGCTTGGCCGGCACCCGCAAGGCACAGCGGCCGCCGTCCGGTCGGTTGGGCGGGGGAGGCGCGTCTCTCTTCACACCTCCGGCCTTGTGGTAGGGACCGAGGTCAAGGCGATTACCTACTCCGCGATGCGCATCACAGAGACGCCCACGCGAGCGGATCTTCTCGTCATCGTCGACATCTAGTCAGTTTTTCTCACCACGCGGTCTTTCTGTTTTTTTTGTCCTCGCCCCGCGCCGCCGCAGCGCGCCGCCTGTCGCTGTCCATGCTTTTACGTTTTAGCTTTTTCTCTAAAGCCGTACCTAATAAAAGACAAATCCTTACATCCAGATTTTTTATTTATTTTTGCGCCAGTCCCGAACAAACAACTCTCTCTCCCAGTCCCGTGCCTAGTGTCGTGCGAGGGAGTCTTGGAGCACTTGGAGTGCACGGTCATGAACCTCACATCCAGGGCCGGGGAGCAAGAAGCGCACCCAGCGGGCCGGATGATGATCGGTATCGGGCTACGGGCAAGAGAGCCCTGACCCCTAAGGGGGGGTGCGCGTTCGCAGGGAAAGGGCCGTAAAAAGTAAACACGGGTCTCCGAGGGTTGGCTCCGCGCTCCGGGTTTCCCCCTAGCAGCAGAACGCCCCCTCTAGTACGACTCGTACTAATGAACACGCGACACACCATGGACACGAGACGACACGCATACTCCCACTCGGCGACGGCCTCGCCGCTCAGGATCCCTCCGCCCGGTCTCCTTGCCCCTTTTCCGGGGAGGTTCCCCTCTCCTCTCGGCCCTTCCTCTTGTTCGCATCCCGATGGTCATGCGACGGGCGCTTCTGGTAAAATTCTTTTTCGCAGTCCCGCCCGGGGCCCGTGTAAAAGAATAATTTTGTTACTCGAAGAAAACACAGAACCAAACGAGGGATGGGAAAAGAAAAGAAAGAACCCAGACAACCCAAGGGAGGGATGGGAGGACGGCACGCCGCCACACACAGGGATTTTAAGGAGAGGAGTGTGGTGCTAGCCGTCGCCCACCCTAATCCCTTGGTCGTCTGCCTCTTCCTATCTCTCTTCGCAGTCCCTCGCCGATTCTCGCTGCAACCTTCATGCCACCTCGCGGTCGTCCCACTCTCGTCGTTCTCCCTCCTGTCGTTTCCTCCTCTGTCGCGTCGCTCTCGTCTGCCTCGTCCTGCGACGCCGCCGCCGCCTGCCGATCCCTTGCTCTTGCGGCTTCTCCCGCCTTTCGGCGCAACTCTGCCCTCCTCGCGGCATATTTTGGCCCCTCGAGTTTATCGAGCTCTCCTCGCGCAAGGACGACTCTTCTGACGCCCACTGCGATCATTTGCCGCCAAGTCATATCGTTGCTCAGGTCCACTCTCTCTTTGAACACTTGTACGTCCACCGAAGCGATGATGTTGGCGCTGGGGTCCCCTTCGGGTGCATCGTTACAGCTGACGACGGGATTTCAGTTGTCAATTTGCGTGCCCGTCCGGTACGTTGCGTCGTTCGCCATCGCTCTCAGGTCTCGCCCCGCTTCATTCAGCATTCCGTTGAACATCCTGTCCGAGAGAGTCCGTTCCTTTTGCCTCTGCCTCGTAGGAAGGCCTCCGTCTCGGCGTTGAAGTCCCCACCGATAATGTATTCTCCATGGATTTTGTCTAGCTCGTCACTTAAACTCTCCCACGCGTCTTGCGCGGGGTCCTTTGTTTCTGTCGTCTGAACCACAGCGTGTCCCGACTCGACCGCCGGCGTCCCGGTCCGGGGGTGTTTCTCTTCTTATCCGTTACCATGTAGAGCAAGGTCGAGGGCGGGCCCTTTCGGGCTCGGGCCGCCCTCTCGCCCGCACCTCTGCGGGGCTTGCACGTGGTAGCGGCGGCTCAAGATCCCAGCGATCTCGAGTTCTTCACGCTATCCACTGCGCCGCGGCTTCGCCGCGCCCATCCAAGCCCAGGGCTTGGTTTGCTGATAACCGCATCTCGCTCTGCGCATCTCTGAGGCTACCCGCGCGCCGACTGCTACGCGCGCGGTGAGAGGCGCACCCCATTGGGGACAGGATTGAGGCCCCTGTACAAGCTCGGCAACGCTGCCGTCGTTGCCCTCCCGAGCCCTCAACACGATGCCGCACATTGCGCAACCCGTTCTGCGCACATGCCGCAGGGAGGAGTTTTCACTCTCCCGTCCGAGTTTCTCCTTCCTGCAGGGCGAGAGACATCAGCCTCTCTACTTCCAGGAGAACATCTACGCCACACGCTATCCCTGGTGGGACGGTCCACAACCCACACTCTCGCTGCAGTCGATCCAGCCCTCGCACTCCCCACTGGAGATCTAGCCGAGGCCCCGGCGGACAGGATTGGAGCCCCTGTGCTGCGTCTGTGGTGATATGTGGGGGACACTTTCTCCTCCCTATTCATGTCAGTCACTCGACTGCGTCGAGGGGGGGGACGTCTGAACCACAGCGTGTCCCGACTCGACCGCCGGCGTCCCGGTCCGGGGGTGTTTCTCTTCTTATCCGTTACCATGTAGAGCAAGGTCGAGGGCGGGCCCTTTCGGGCTCGGGCCGCCCTCTCGCCCGCACCTCTGCGGGGCTTGCACGTCTGTGTCGCCCGTCCCTCCGCTCGCCGCGACCGTTATCTTAGCCTGCCCCCTCACTGGCATGTACCGGTAGACCCCTATCTGTGTCCATTCCAGTCCGCTTGCCACGTCCTCCATCTCCACCCTCACGACGCGACCTCTCTCCACCTCCTCCATGGCCACTTCTCGTTCCCGTCTCTCTTTGCTTGCAGGTGGTCCGGGTCCCACACAATCAAAAACGCGCTGCTCTGTGAAGCTGAGAGGTAAACTGCGAGCGTGGAGGCCCTGGGGTTCACAACGACGCTGGTTGTCCTGCCCGACTGCGTCGTCACCGCGTGGATAGGAGCCTGCTTTTCTGGGGCGATGCTGCTCCTGGCCATCTCCGCTCTCGCCTCCGTCACTGCTGCGCCGAGCACTGGCATCGTCGTGCACGGCTTCCACTGCAACGCTCCGCGCTGGGAGGAGGTGGTGTGGGGCGACGAGGCGGCACAGCGGCTCGGGCGGCTGCCGCACGCAGCGCTCCTCGCCTGGCAGGCACGGCACGAGCTGCAGGCCTTCATCTGCGGCTCGGGTGCCTCGCAGACCGCAAGCGGCTCTGCTGAGGCGGACGCACTGATCTCGCTGCTCTTTGAGCGGCTGCCGTCCCTCCTCTCCTTTGACGCCTTTCGAGGGGTCGACCTGGAGGCGCTCGAGGCGCTGCTCCGCCGCACAGTCTCGCCGACACCGAGTCGCTCAACACGCAGCAGGAGGTGCTCGCGGCGCTCGCGCGACTGTCGCGGCTGGGCGTGCAGCGGGCGCTGCTGGTCTCCTCGCCGACGCACATGCCGCGCTGCCTCCGTGATGCGAGCGTCGCGGCGGTGCGCCTGGGCTACGAGGTGCGGGCGGCGCTCTCGGGTCCGAGGCCCTGCCAGCGGACACGCACACACCTCTCTCCTAGGGCACCGTTCTCGCCTCCCCCTGCGGCACGTCCTGGACCGAGGAGACAGCTGTCGTGGTCGAGCCGCCCCACAGGCCGGACGGAGGCGCCTCCGCGGCGCTCTTCGGCTTGGGTACCATCCACCACCGTAGCCCGCCTCCTCGCCCGGCCTCTCCGCTCACCACGCCACTCTCCCGCCCGCCGTCCCTCAGTTCGCCGCGCCGCTGCCCTCGCCTTCGGAACCACCGCGACCGAGAGCGGGAGGCGGCCGGCTGAGTTCCTCGCCGCGTTCGAGCGGCTGCTCGCATCCTTTGAAAATAGGAAATCGAGTACTGTGTGACCTCTGCGTATCGCTCTACGTAGCTAACTGCAGAGTGGCGGCGGCGACCGGCGAGGGGAGGGGGGAGCGGTGCGTCGCGAGCGGCGCGGACTGGTGCGCGCCGGCTGGGCGCGCGGTCACCCACACACCCACACATCAGGCTTGGCCGGAATCTTTTCCTCGGGACCTCGCTTCTCCTCGAAGAGAGCTCTCAAAAAAGTAATGGTGAACACCGCGGACCGCGCGCCGTCCCCGCCGAGCGCGAGCCGGCTGTAGCCGCTCTACTCTGATCTCTGTATATAGAGCGAGCGCGTTTGCCGTGGGCTGGGTGGCCTGGCCCCCTGGGGTTCTGGAACGCCCTGAGAGGAATGATATCGCGAGAGCGAGAGACCCCACCACGCGCCGACTCGTGACTGCGCGCACGCGAGCGCTCCGAGGCCGCGCCACGAGTCAGGGCCGCGCCACGCCCGCACTCACGCCTGTTCTGGCGCGGCCCTGCGCTCTAATCCGCGCGTATCCGCGCACACCTAGGTGGATGAGGCCGAGCTGCCGTGCCGGTGCTCCCTCAGCAGGCGCTGCGCCTGCTCGAGCTTCCACGCGCGCGCGGCATCCTCCTTGTGCATGTGCACAAACGGGTTCGGGTCGTCGGACGCCATCGAAGCAAAGGTGTGGTTGACGTCGCGGTGATGAGACTCGTCTGCGTAGATGCAGCGGAGGGTGTCGAGCCACGTCGCGTCGTCCGGCAGCTTCCAGTAGCCTTTTGCGATCTCGGGGGCTGGGAGACCCGACCACTCGGCGTGCAGCCGCGTGCCCGGCGTCTCCAGGTGCGAGATCACGTTGTGGTACGTCTCGCATGCGGTTTGCTCGAGATAGCCGACGAACCGGTGCATGGCCTTTGGGTTCACGACGTAGATCATCATCAGGAAGGGCGTCATCGAGAACTGCGCGCCGATGCACATGAGGCGGGTGACGGGACCCGCTTGGAACATGGAGAGGCAGGTAAGCAGGTGCATCCGCTCGTTCTCCGCCTCCTCTAACAGCGTGTGAATCCAGCCGTAGTCGCGCTCCAGCGCCCGCAGGGAGTGGAAGTGGCGCATGCCGGCGGCCACGAAGCCGGGTACGCCAGCGAAGGACTCGAGGACGATGAGGCGCCACACCAGCGACGAGGGCGAGGGGTCGTGGTGCGTGTAGCCAGTGATGAAGTTGAACGGGTGGTAGAGGCCATAGTACATGAAGCCGTGCATCACCTTGTCGGAGAGCGTCTCTGGCACGTGCTTGTCACTGAAGGTGGCCAGCGCCGAGTCGAGCTCGTCCTTGGACCAGATGTGATTCTGCTGCCGCCCAGTCTTGTCGGCCATCTCCCGCTCCATCGCCAGGTACTGCTTTTGCGGCAGAAGTGGGTGCACTGTGTTGCTCGCCTTGAAGTGCTGCGTGCTCAATGAGCGGAGGGCGCCGGTGGATAGCGGCAGCCGCAAAGTCGAAGGAAGAAGATGAGGAGGAGGAAGAGATGGACTCAACCACTTGCGGCTGACACGGAGCACGAGAGAGGAGCGATGCATCGAGCCGTCGGCGATGCCTTCTGACCAAGGCTCCGGACGCGTCCGCTGCCCGACATTTCTTTTGACTTTTCCTTGTTTGTATGGTTACTGGTTCTGTCGCAGTCCCTTTGATGGGCGGCCCTTGGGTGGGGCCACCTCGTGACCTCGAACCCCAAGCAGCCTGGGCATCGAGTGGGAGGGAGAAAAAGTGGAGGGTGTGGGTGCCCGGTTAATCCATTCCTCGGGCCCCGGTACTCTCATTACGTCATTGCATGTACATGTACAAACTGTTCACATTGCGCAGCTGCCGTCCCTTCGCCGTTCTCTCCGCGGACGGCAGAGCGCTGCGCTGTCGCCCTGTCAAGCACGCGCTCGTGCTTCGTTGCGGTGACACACCCTGTCCCACCCGTGTGTGTGATCAGTGTCTATTACAGCACATTTCTCTAGGCACAAAATTCTCTCGCATCGAGGGAGGGACGTCCGAGTTTGATTGGCGGGCGGACGTCGACGCAAAGCGACGTCGACGATGGCTGTGCTCTTGCGAGGCTCGCTGCGGGCGTTCTCGGCGTGGGGGGAGCGGAACCCGTCCGCACTGAACGTTATGGCCGCCACCACGCTCGGCGGCGCCGGCGATGTCGGCGCGCAGCTGATCGAGGGCGCCGATGGGCTCGGCGCGCTTGACGCAAAGCGCACCGCCTGTGTGTGCGCGTGGTACGCGCCGGCGGCGCTATTCTTCTGGACGCCGTTCATGGGCGGTGTCGAGCGCACGTTTGGGACGAGCGGCGCCAAGTCGGTGGCAGCCAAGGTCCTCTGCTACAACCTTGCCATCAGCACGGTCGACATCACGGGCTTCCACCTCGTCTCGCTCACGCCGCAAGTGGGGGCCGAGAAGGCGGTGCAGACGCTGCGGGAAGGGTACGCAGACGCCGTCGCCGCGGGGTGCAGCTTGTGGGTGCCCGCGATGACGCTCATCTTCTGGCGGGTTCCTGCACACCTGCGGCTGAGCACGAGCTACGCGCTTGACGTGTGCTGGGCCTCCACGATGTCCTTCCTCAGCAACCGGAGGAAGAATCTGGTCGAGGCGGCGCCACCGCCGGCGCCGGCATGGAGCGGGAAGCTTGGAGTGAGAAAGAGCGTCATTGACTGAGGCTGAGACTGCATGAACGTTGTGCTGGTGCGTCACTTGTGCCCCACAGTACTTATGTTCATGTCGAGGGGGCAGGGGCCAGGACGAGCGTGACGGCGGGCATGTCCGGGCGCGTGGGCGCGTTGATTCATTCGGTACAAAACCACTACTCCCTCCCTCGCTCTCTCTCTCTCCGTGTGTCTCTTCTCTCTCTCTCTCTCTTTCTCTCTCTCTCTCTCCCCGTCTCTCTCTCTCTCTCTCTCTCTCTCTCTCTCTCTCCCCCCGTCTCTCTCTCTCTCTCTCTCTCTCTCTCTCTCTCTCTCTCTCTCACTCACTCACTCACTCACTCACTCACTCTCGCTCGCTCGCTCGCTCGCTCGCTCTCTCCGTCGCTCCGTCTCTCCGTCTCTCCGTCTCCCTCCTCCCGACTTCACTGTTCGATATTTTTTGAAGGTGTCTCGGCCTTCACGGCGGCTTGTCGTCACAAGAATGCCACGCGTGTTTGGCCTGGTCAAGCCGGCAACCGAGCCCAGCCAGGGAAAGGAAAGCGTCTTCGACCTCTTCGCCAGCCTCAAGGCGCCGGGCATGCGTGACTGGAAGCTGGTGGATCCTGTGAGCCGGCCCGCGCTGCTGCCGCCGTCAACGCCGGCGCTGCTGCAGCCGACTCGGCATCATCAGCCATCGCCGCCGCCGCCGGGCCACCCTCCTCGCGCGCCGTCGCAGCTCCACCCACCACCACAGCAGCCGCCGCAGCCGCCGCGCCCGCCGCCGCCACAGACGCCGCGCCCGCCGCCCGCCGCCCCGGAGCTGTGCTACACGGACCTTCACCGCCGGTTTTCGTGGCTCAACGTGTACACGGCCCAGTCGCTCGCCTCCACCTTCTCGAAGAAGGAGCTGAGCTTCATTCTGCGACGCCACTCGATCCAGCGGGGCGGGAAGAAGGAGGACCTTGCCCTCGAGCTCATGGCGTTGATAAGGTCCGACGGTCTTTCGGCGCCCGACGATCCCATCGTGGGGTTGTTCGCTGCCAACGTCGCGCCTGCCGAGTCGCAGGACGAGACCCAGGCGCCTCCCGGCTGGCTGGCCGACGGCGGAGCGGCGTGCAGCCAGAGCTTGGCGGCCGCTGATGCACCGGCTTCGTTTGGCTTCTCAAACGGCAACGTCGAGTCGCAGACAGAGCAGCAGTCGCAGTCGCAGCAGTCGCCCTGGATGGGCATCGACCGCGTGCCATCACAAGCGGCGGCCGTACAGCCAAAGGCAACCCTCCCGTCCACGCCCAGGACGGTCGTGCCGAGACCCTCGTCGCAGCACCCCGACTGCATTACGCCGCCGGATTTGGCACGAGAAGCGGTTGCGGTGGTGCATCCGCCACGCCGCACGATCGGTCTGAGCGCCGCGGAGCGGGAGCTGATCGATCGGCTCAAGAGCGAGGCCGCGGTTGCGGGCGCCATTTGGCCAGACTTTGACGCCCTGCGGTTGGACTTCTCGCTGATGCCGCGCAAGGCGAGCCGGAGTGACACTCTCTGCTCCAAGGTCGCTGCGTCTGCATCGCGTGGCGTCGATCGTGGCGGGGCCCTCTCCCCGAGTGCCGTGGGGCCACTCGCCCATTCGCCTCCGGCGGCAGCTTCACTTGGTGCGCGGTCGTCCGGCGAGCCCGGCGTGGAACACTCTGCGCTCGCTCCAGAGCCAGCGCCGAAGCGGCCACGGCAGGGAAAGAGTGCCGAGGAGGTGAGCGATCTGATCAGCAAGGCACGGAGGATCGTGCGCGGCGTCAGCGAGCAGCAAGCGGCTTCCGCGCTCGCCGCGGCCGACTACTGCCTGGGGCCAGCCTTGGCGGCGTTGCGGCGTGCACTCCAAGAGCAGCTGCGAAGCCGCGACGAGGCCGACGAGTCGAGCTCCTGTGTCGCCGCCGCCGACCGGAAGCGCCGCCCCGTGCAGCGCTCCCTCGGGCTCTGCTTCGCGGGCGGGCCGTCGCAGACGGCCGGCCTCGAGGACAGCGCCGGTTCGGGCGGCGGCTCTCGGAGCTGTGTCGGTCTCGAGCGACTGGAGCGGGGCGCAAGCGAGTGGCGCGATGCGTGTGACTCGGGCTCCGAGACGACGATGGGGGAGCGCTCGGACCTCGATGATGGCGATGCCACCGAGCGGGAGGCCCGGTCAGATGACGGCTCTGACGACGGGTACCACGCAGACGGGTACGGCTCGCTGTCGTGACTGTGAGCGGTCCAGTATGATAGGGGTGGGAGAGGGGGGGGGTTCTCGCGGTCTTTGCATGGCGCACGTTTTGGGGCAGCGTTGAGCGATCACACTTCGTGGTGTGTGTGTGTGTGCGTGCAGCCGCGTGTGTGCAATGCGCGGTGACTCTTCTTGACGTTGGAGTCAACGTATCCTTTTTGCAGACAGACAGAACTCACTACTCAGTCTCAGAAGTTTCCCGGCACGCACCGACCGCCGGCCCACGTCGCCAGACGGTCCACGCGGCAGCGCCTCCTCGCCGCCCGCCGGCTCAGACAGGGAGACGAGGCGGTGGAACCCTGAGATCGACAGTCGCTTGGTGGCCGGCATGTGTGGCGGCCCGGAGAGTGCCGGCGCCCAAACAAAAAGTTTTTCGCCAAGGCGTGGGGGCGCGGAGGGCTTGTTGGTGAGCCAAAATGGTGATGTCCGATGCGCTGCGCTAGGCTCAGAGCGAGTTCGCGCTGCGCTAGGCTCAGACGGCGAGTCAGACGGCGAGTTCGCGCTGCGCTCTAGGCTCGCGATGGCGAATGCGCATTCAACCTGCGATAGAATTTCACGACAAAAGGCGGTTGCACATGCACGATTCACACGCAAGACAAGGCGCAGACGACGCCCGACGGCTTCCGCGATAGAAAGAATTTTACAACGAAATTCCCTCGCACGACACTGGGCACGGGACTGGCGCGCACTGGCACTAACACGGTACACAAAGAAAAGGACGGACACGACAACCGAATGGAGGGATGGGAGCTGGATTCACCCCTTTGAAAACTTTTAATTTGTCATTTTTAGCCCCTTTTCTTCTTTGTGGAGCATCCCGCGCCCCGCCCCGCTCCGGCCTGAGCTAGCCCTCGTCGCGCACCATCCGCTCCTCCGCACCTTTCTCGCCCTCAAAGAGCCACGCCATGCCGCTGGGAAACTCCGCTCGCACCACCCGCTCCGCCCCTCGCTCGCCCTCAAAGAGCTCGAGGTCCTCCGAGCACCGAGGAAGGAGCGCAAGCAAGAGCGCGCCGCAGGCGAAGCGATTTTTAGCCCCCCGCTACCCGGTTGCACTCGTGCGACGTAGCGGGGGGCCACGACTACGTTTACGAAAACATAATAATTCCGCGAGGATTCTTTTTCCGCCCCCATAACCCCATTTAGCAGAGGGCCCCCTTCGTGGCAAACCTCGTCACAAGCTTTGGCGCCAAAGCAGATTCACGGGCGTTCGAAGTGCCGAGCTCAAACCCGTCATGCTTTCCTTCGAGCTCGACTTGAGTGCCGCTCGACTGGCCGATGAAGAGCGACCCGTACACCGCGCACTTGTCGTCCTCCCTCCTCGCCACATGACGGCCGCCCTCCGACACCGACAGTCGCGCTCCGCACGCCTTCGAGGTCAGCTGCGGCCGAGCGACGATCGGCTCGCTCCAATCGCTGGGCGCGGTCACTCTGCGGCCCATCACCCGCCTGCCGATCACCTGTCCGCCTCGCCGCGCGCGGGCCGCTCGCCTGCTCGCCACCGCCGCCGCGCGTCCCCGCGCCGCCACGCTTCCCTGTGCACCTGACGGCGCTCGAGCTGCGCAGACGGCGCGCGCTCTGGCAGACAGAGCAGCGGCCGCCCAGGCGGTCGCTGCTCCGCCCCGTCCGAATCCGTCCGCCCGCGCGTGCTGCTGCCGCCGCCGCCGCCGCTCCACCCGGTGCCCGTGAGTCGTGAGAGTTGCTTTGTGTATGTCTATGTGTGTATGTCGTATGATACGCCGTATGTGTGTGCGGACTTATGTCACACTTGAGCCCTCTATCTATGATAGTAGACGGGTACTCGGGTTTGGATGGTAGCGGGGGGCCCCGCCGGAGGCTGGTTACTGATTGGCGGCAGGGCTCTTCCAGGTTATCTTCGTGATCACGCGCGAGCCTGTGAATAGGCCCCGAATATAAACTAAAGGGCTGACCTGACCCGGGGTACGGTGCCCACCCCGCGCCCCCGGAGCCCGAAAACGGGGCGCCGCGAGCTCGCAACGCCGAGTTTACAGTTTTCCTCGAAATCACACCACATACAGGTGGGGTTGCCCCTTCCTATCAACCGTCAACAGGATGGGGTTGAGGGTCGCCTGAGCCAACATCGCTCTGAGTGAGTGCTCAGCCCGTATTGGGGCTTGGAAGCTCAAAGCTCACTCACTCCCGGCTGTCGGCCCATGGGCGTGTGGGCTCCTGCGGCACGCTGCGCTTCGGCGCGCGTCTTTCGCAGGAAGTGCTCGACACGCTCGTGAATAAGCTTGCGGCTGACGTTGAGAATCGTTACCTGGAGCGCCAAGATGAGGGCATGTTCCAACACACCTTCGTCCTCGGTGGGTCGGACGATGAGGAGGACGATGGCGCGGTGAGTCTCGAGGACCTCAACAACCGGCTCGACTTTTGGCTCAAGATGCATCGTGTCCAGCGCTCACTGCTCGTGATGTCGGCGGGCGTCGGTATCCCCGGGAGCCCGCTGCGCCTGCTGGACGGCAAGCCGGAGCTGCTCAAGATGGTCTTCCACTCGCTGATGCCGGTCAAGGCGCCGACGCTCAAGTCCCTCGTTGAGAAGGCGGCGGCGGCGGTCAAGAAGGAGGCGACAGCGGAGCCGGCGCAGGCCGGTGAGGTCGAGGACGCGCCGGCCGAGGACGCGCCCGAGAAAGCGCTCACGCTCTGCGTCCGCGGCTTCGGTGCCGAGCCTGTGGACGCGGCGGACCTCCCATCCTGGCGTCACCAGCGCGAGCTGCACGCCCAGTTGTGCTCGCTGTACCGAAAGCGCTACCCGCTCGAGCTCGAGATTGACTTCGTGACCAAGTTCGAGGGCTACGGCCAGGAGCTCCCCTTCTACATCCTCGGAGTGGCGGGCGAGCAGGACGCGCCGCACTTCTCAGGCGAGAAGAAGCTCGGCATGTGGGACAACGACGACGGGTCCTCAGGCGTCGATTTCTGTGCTCCAATCGGCACGTTCTCGGCACCCGAGGGCGGCGCGGAGAAGATCACGACCGCCATCGACGCCCTGCGCGCGGGCGGCATGCTGCCTGCGGAGCCGACGGCTGCTGAGATGGCGGAGATGAACGCCAAGGGGCTCATCATCATGCCCAACATCCCGTACGTCGCCGAGGTGGGGTGGAATGTCGTCGGGCACTCCCACGTCGGCTGAGCACGCCGAGCGGCGACAGCGTGCCCACCCGCGCAATGCGCGCTGCGCGGCAGACGCAGAGGCGCCGGTGGAGAGCGTGAGGCGGGTGGCACCGTCCCGCGTCCGGAGCGCGGACCGCGGAGGCGCGTTGCGCCAACACGCTCGTGACCGGAGCGAACAGCGAGGAGAGTGACCACGGTGAAACAAATATTTTGCTGCTCCGGTTGCCGACAGGGTACACCGTGGCAAAAAGGAAAATAATAATCGCGTGGCTGTCAACGTATTTTCTTCTCCATAACACGGCTGTGAACCGGCGCACAGCGCCATATAAGGACGTATTTTCTTCTCAATAACAAGGCTGTGAACTCTATCCTGGGACCCAGCGCTGACTTCTGACTGTCGTTGCTGTCTCTCTCCCTTCTCGACTGTCTGTGCTTGTGCGTCTTGGGTCCGGGGTTGTTTGTGTTTTTCTGTGAATGAACTATCGGTACTCGGCCCCCGCCCGACGACCACCAGGCGCTAGACGTTTTTGGAGCCTGGCAGCGGTCTATCGGCACTCGTGAGTTCGACCCTGCGAGCAGAGAGTACAACCTCCTCAGCTCGCTGCTCCGCCGCGCGCTCCCTCGCCCAGCCGTCTTGCGTTGGGCGGGCCCGCGCGCCCGGGCCTTCCGCCCTGGGAGGCAGAAGACCTTGGCGACTACGACCTCCTCACTCAACCCCTCGTCTGCAGCGTGCCGCAAGCAGGTCCTCCTGGAGGAGGGCTGGCCTCGCGGCGAGTTGCCTTCCAAGGTGGGGTTGCGCGAGCATATGCAGGCTCCTCGCGCTGCGCTGGGGTATAAGGTGGGCCTGGCCTACCATGGCAATGCCGCTGAGACCGGTGAGTACTTGTACGACCCGAGCTACGCGCGACATCGGACAAGTAATCCACACGCTGAACAGAATGTTCAATCTCAATTTCCCACCCCCCTGCGCGCGGGCCTTCTAGGCCCGCGGGTAGTCTCCCCCCATCCCCAGGGCCTCCAGGGCTCGCACCTCTCAAAACCTCTCATAGACCAGCGCACAGCGCCATAGGACGTATTTTCTTGTCATAATCTTGTCAATAACAAGGTCTGTGAACTCTTGAGCACTTGAGCACTGGATAGGGTCGATTCCGCATGGTACGGGACCCCCGGTGTGAACAGGGCCTCCAGGGCTCGCAGTCGCACCTCAACCTCTCACAGCCGACCAGCGCACAGCGCCATAGGAGGTATTTTCTTCTCAATAACAAGGCTGTGAACTTGGGGTGTCGCTAGTAAATTCTTGAAGTTTCCGCCCTCGTGGCATGTTGGATTTCCAAAAGTCCGCCCCTGCGTGTGTCGGCCGCTCACGTCGACCGCTCACGTCGACTCTCCGGCTGCGTACCGGCGCATCCACGCTAGGATGTCCCCCGCGATGGTCGAGCGCAGTGGCTCCGGCTCGCAGAGGAGCGCGTGCAGCGCGTCGTACCGCTTCAGCGTGCGGTCAGCCGCGGGCGTCGCCGCCACCTCGCAGAGCCTCTCGGCCGCCTCGCGCGCCGCCTCGCTCAGCACCAGCTCGCGGTCGGCGAGGAGGCAGAAGAAGGGGCAGGCCAGGCCGGGGAGGGTCGCCTCACAGGCGGCGCCTGTGCGGAGATGCGCCCGGCCAAGAGGCTTTAGCCGAGATGAGCCGGCCCGCGCTCTCACTCCCGGGCAAAGCGGGCCGGGAGCCGGGAGACCGGCCCGAAGCAGGGAGAGCGCGCGGAGGGAGGAAGGGAGAGGGGGGAGGGAGGGAGAAGAGAGCGCGCGGACCGAGCGAGACGCACGCGCTCGCGCTGCCGACGCGCAGCGCCCCCTGCAGGCGGGCGGGAGAGAGCTTAGCCGATTCGCGGGGTGACATCCCACCGGAGGGAACCCGAGCTGTGTATGCGCGCGTCTGTGCGCGTGTGGGACAGACGTTGTTGTCCTCTGCGCGGGGCTTCCCGCGGGGACCAAAGACGGACCGCCGCCGCCGAGAGTGAGTGAGCCGGGTCCGGGATAGGAGGGGCGGCCAGGATCTAAATCTCTCCCGAGATCGCACAACCCGCCCACAACCCGCCTCGCGTGCCTGCCCCGCAGCTGCTGCCCCGTGTATGTTCCGCGTGTGCCCCGCGCTAGGACGTGTGCAAGACTGACTGACTGCCGGGGTCGAGCCTCGCCTTGTAGGAGAGCGACCACATCTCGACCATATCTCGGCTGTATCTCGGCTGCATCTCGGCTGCATCTCGGCTGTATCTCGCCTTGTAGGAGAGGTGGTCCGCGTCGACCCGCTTGATGATGGCCTCGTCCGAGTACTGCTTTGCATTGTCGGTCGCGGACGACGGGATGAGCGGCAGCCGGCAGAGGGGCGTGTACCTGTGCACAGAGGCGCGGGGTGTGAAGAGACGCTGCTCTCACGACAGGAGCGCATGCCCGCAGAGAGGAGGCGGGTACGACAGGGCGGCGAGGAGGTATGCGGCGGCGGCCGACGCCGGAGGCGCGAGCATCGGCGCAAGGAGGACGAGACCGCTCACACCGTCGAGCCTTTCGCGACAGAGCGAGTCGGTAGTTGAGGAATGAGACGCCTGGCGTGCATCGGGCTCGGACGGTGTCTGTTGTGAGCTCACCGCTGCGCGACGCGAAAGGCAATGGCGCCGCCCATCGAGCTGCCGGCGAGGAAGAGCGGCAGGCCCGGCTTCAGCCGCCGTGCCTCTCTTGCGAACGCCTCGCCGTCCTCCTCGAGAGCCTCGCTCGAGAGCAGGAAGCCGCGCAGGCCGTCGCTCTCGCCGTGGCCCGGCATGTCGGGCGAGCACACGGCGAACCCACCAGCGGAGAGCACCTCCGCCGCGAGCGAAGTCGACGGAAAGCGAGCGTGCGAGCCCATGCCGTGGAACAAAACCACCAGGCCGACGGCGGCCGTGGGCGGCTCCCAATGCCAGAGTGCGCAGCGCACGCCCGACGGCGCGTCGAGAGCGCTGCGCGTTGGAGTGCTAGATGTCAAGACTACCATCGGAGGCTCAGATAGGGGATCTCCCCGCGCTACCTGGCTACCTATCCCCAGGCCGCGCAGCGAAAATAGGGGGGTACCTACGTGTTGCAGGGCGGCCCTCTGGGCGGTCAAAACCGGACCTACCCACCTATTGCATAGGGTGTCACGGGGGTCAACAGACCCCCTATCTGGCTAGGAGCCGGAACCCAGCCCAGCCAGCCGAGCGGCCCTTTCACGCCGCCGCAATCCGAATTTTCCCACGCACCAAATGTGGTGAAGCCTCTGGGGGGGGTCGGACCCCCCCCCTAGCATGTGGTGTGAAGTTAGAAGTGCGCCCTCCTCCCTGGAACACGGCACATTTAGCGGGCTCGAGCGGCACACAGTGGCTGCCGGGGTGTGCCGAGGCGGGGGGCTGGGAAGGCGGTAAGCCTTCGTCGCCCCCTGCTTGCAGCTCCGCGGCGATGAGGCCAAGAGGTCCTGGCGGTGCGGCGAAACACACACCGCTTTCAGACCCGCCCCCTTCACACACCGCCTCCCTGGCTTGGCGCCCGGAAAGAAAAAAAAGGAACCGCCTCTCTCATCGGCACACGTGTCGAGCACCAAGATGCAAGAAAATAGTGTGCGACACGCACGGGTGTCGGTGGTAGCGAGAGAGTGAGCCGCGCGGCGCGCGGTGGGAGTCAGTTGCTTGTTACAGATAGTACAAGAATAGACCGTCGGAACACCAAAAGAGCGCGGATACTACCGCAATCCCGAAATAAGACGCCGTTCTGGCGTCGACAGGAATAATATAGGTGCTATCGTGGATAGAGTAATGCTCATTAAAGCGTGCTCCGCTCTCGCGCCCAGGCGCGCTCATGGCGCGATATTACGTCCCATTTGGGACGGTGTGAACTCGCCTGTCTGGCGCCATGGCTCGTTCATCATTGAGAGGTCTGCCCCTCGCTGGGTGTCACTCTAAAGAAGGCGATGCGCCGGCAGGTGCGAGTCTCTCGCCCCTGCGCGCCTCGGCCAGCCCGCGGCGGATCGCAATCACGTGCTCGTGTGCTCGGGGAGAAGGCGCCGATCCAACTCGGCGGGGGGTTCGGCGACGCGCTCGACGGATGACGCGTCAAGTACGTCCGTGGTGCTCCTGGCGGCGTCTGCCGACGCGGGCTCGATCTTTGGAGCGTCGAAGCGCGAGTAGAGAAACTCGGTGGCGTGCGCGCTCTGCGCCTCATAATCCGACGCCTTGCCAACTATGGCGCCCTCTGCCTGGGCGGAGGTGGTATAATCTCCAGCAACTGGGTAGTGGTCTTGCTTGCCGTTGCGCTTCAGGGACGGCGTGGCAAAGGACTGGCCTACTGGCAAACGAGTGCGTCAGGCGCGGCGAGGCACTTCTCTGCTGCGTCCGGCGACGGCAGCAGTAGCCGCGTGCCGATGATGCCGTGCGGCCTGTCGCGAGCCGGTGCGTCACCTCTCGCAGTGAAGCTCACATCGATCCGGTGCGCTGGTCCCTTGATGAGGCAGTCATGGCCGGTGTCGCAGGACGGCATGCCCTTCACCGCCACGGTCCAGTTGCCCAGCTCAAAGGTGGCGCTCGAGTAGTCCATCGCCATCTTGAGGCCGAAGCAGTCCTTCTTGCCGTGGAGCCCGAACTTGAAGGGGCGGCCGACGCAGCTGCCGTTGACCACGCGCCAGCCAAAGTTGTTGGGGTCGAGCTCTGATGCCCAGAACGAGGCGGTGGCGAGCTTCCGCGGGGAGAGCTGTGCTGTGATGTGCGCCTCCGTCAAGAAGGTGCCGTTGACTGTGAGAAGGCCGTGGTGCGCGAAGAAGAGCGCCTGGTCGCTTGGGCGTGGATAGGGGTCAGATCTGAACTAATATTGCCTAAGACTACCAAGACGAGAGCGCCTCCTCCGTCTTGACGTTGACTGAGATGCCCGGCGCGGATAAAAAGTTGTATAGCGCGCCGTGGCGGCCGCGGAAGTCGGCGGAGCCTCCAGACGCGAAATTGACGTGCGGGTCGCGAGCGACCTTGCCCGTCGCAGCTGGCGGGGGGGCAGGGGGGGACAGCGCGGCGCAGCTGCTGCTCGCAATCCAGATTTCCTCGTATTCAGCCCTGCACTTCCTGCGGTACACGGCTGCCGCATCGGCGCTGTCCGCTGGGACCCGCATCCCGTTCCCGTACGAATTGCACTCCGCCTCACACTGGGCATATGTCGTCTTGTCCTTCTCGAGGCGAACTGCACATGAACTCTGAATAGTTGTGCATGAACTCTGCTCCGGTGGATCTCCGGAATTGCAAATCGCGAGTGCACTCGTGCGGTCGCTGGCCACGCAGGAACAGAACGCCTTATACTCTTCTGCCTGTTCTTCACCTCCCAGGTCGTTATTGACGGTCTGCTCACTCGCAACCCATATTTCAGGGTAGTCCTCCAGACACAGTTCGTTGTCATTGATGTTGTACACGAATGCCAGGTCGGCACCGTCCCTGGGAATCCGCGCCACCAGCCGGCTGCACTGCGCCTCACACTGTGCGAACGTCATCTTGTTTTGGTCGATTAGGTGTGGGGCGGGGCAACCTTTGTTTGTACCGCACGAACTCTGCTCCGGTGGATCCCCGACATTGCAAATCGCATAGGCTTGATCGTAGTTGAAGAAGTTTGCAGCCGCACCCACGCAATGACAGAACGCTTTGTGGTCGTCTGCATCCACCTCAGTTTCGATCCACGTCGTCAAATCGTTGTCAATGGTGCACGTACCTATCACGGTCGTCATTTGGAGCACGACGGCGAGAACGACTGCACGCATTCTGCCCGGCCCGCGCCCGACGAGGCTTATTCGCGTTGGAGGGCTGGTCCCAAAATCAGGATGAAACGAAATGCATTACTAGGCTCGCCATCGTCATGGTGCAGGCTTGACCCCAGTTGGCCACGGTGAGTAGGTGTGAATGGGGGAGTTCGATATTCACAGTCGTTTACACTGAGGGAGCAATGGCTATTATTATTCGAGTTGCTTTGCCGTCATCATCCATCCAGGGGGCGGCAAACTACCAATCAATCAATCAATCAATGACTGGCGGCTCAAGTCAATCAATTATTAATATTGCTGGTGTCCGCCGTGCGAGGCGCCGTTCCACTTCAGCGCCGCCGGTCTGGCGCGGTTTCCTATTTGCAATTATTGCACGCCGCGCCGCCGTCGGGCGAACTTATCGGCAGCACGACTTTGCATTTTGGCGCGGTTTTCGCGATGTCTCTCATAGCTCTGCCTCTGGGTCGCAATGGGCGATCCCAGGCGGGAGCAGAGGCCAGTGGCCTCGATCCCTCGATTCTCTGATGGGCTGGGCCTACACTCCGATCGAGTTCATGTTATTCCGAGGGGAGAGACAGACAGACGGATCGATCGCAGGGCAGGCAGGCAGGTCTGTCTGCTTGCTAGGGGCGCTGCGAGAGTCCGCGGCTTCCTTCCACTCACTGACTGCACCCCGGACGGAGATATCTCCAGGGCCCGTCGCCCCCGGGGCCCCACGCCATGTGACACCCCATAGGAGCAGCTTGGCTTTCGCAGCCGGTGCCTTTCTGGTGTCAGAAGCGGGACGCAACTCGGGGTGGTCGCAGGCACAAGTCTTTTGGCCAATTTACCGATTGAGGGTGGTGCGCGCTGGCGCGCGAGCTTTCCCAGAGCAACAGTACAAACGAGGGCGACGCCCGCGCGTGCGGTTGCCGCGGCCGCCTCCCGGCTGCCAGCCCCGCTCTTGGGCGGCATTATGTCGTTCCTGTTGGTCAATCACTGCAGCGCCACCAATCCAATATCAGCGGCCTGTGCGGACCAAGACCCGCACCTCCGCTTTGCCTTTGGTGGGAGCGCCGACTTTCGAGGCCGCCACAACGCGCTGTATAACTTCCTCTCCGCGCCAGGCCTCGCCCTCAACATCAAGACGGAGGACTCGACCTTCAAGATGCACGGCGGGAAACTCACTGTCGACGGCTCCTTCATGACCGAGGCGCACCTGACTGCAGTCAGTTTGCCCAAAAGGAAGTTTGCCAACGTGTCCTTCTGGGCGGCCGAGCTGAACGAGTTTAACACCGGCTGGCGCGTCGTCAATGGTACCTGCGGGGGACACTACTTCAAGCTCGGGCAGGGAGGCCGCAAGACGTGCGAGGAGATGTCGTTCGTCGTCGGCTACTCGACCGCCACGTGGACCACCCGCGACTGGGTCATCCAAGTGCACGGCAACCACGTCAACGACCGTGTCTCGGGCCCAGAGCACCGGCTCGACATTTCGCTGAGCGCCAAGGGCAGTGCGACCGCAGCAAGCCTGCCGCACGGGCTGGTGGGCCAGTCCTTTGCGACCGTCGGCCTGCCCCGCCTCGGCCGGAAAGACGTCTACCCCGCCTCGGGCCACATCCGAACCGAGTCGATGGCCGAGGGCGCCATCGATGGAGAGGCGCATATGTACGAGGTCTCATCGGCCTTCGAAACCCGCTTTGCCTTCTCCCGCTTCGCCACGGTCCCCGCCAGTGCGTCTTCGCTTCTCCCTCATACGGACGCCCCGGACGCCGCCCTCGCCCCAGCCCCCACGGCCGCGTTTGAGACTCCCGGGCGGCGTCTGGCGGACGAGTGCACTGACTGTGTCGTGATCAGCGACATCACAAACGCAGATCTGGAGGCCACACACACCTATCTGTGCACGTTAGCGCAAATGGGAAGCAACTGCCCGGCGGATCCAAGGACCTTATCCCAGGACTGGCACCCACCCCTGGACGCAAGCATCGTGAGTGTGACAGCAGTCAAGCTGCAGGCCTACTGGCGTGAGAACTTCGTACAAGGTCTCGGAGTGTATACGCTCGATCAGCTCGAGGGGCGTGCGGTGTCTACCGGCGCCGGGCAGTTCTCCTACAACGGCGGATCATCCACGTCCGCGCACTTTTGGGTGGCAGGTGCAATAGACGACGTGCAACAAAAGCTTTTGCTCGCCAAGGTGGTCGCGTTTGTGGACTCCAGCAACTCTCTGTACCTGGGCGGGGCTTCCCCTTCTAAATCGGTGAGTTGCGACGCGCTTTCGGTGGAGTGCAACAACACCAACATCAACCAGGTCGACCTCGTCGAGTTCTATGACAACTGCGACACTCACGGCGGCGACTGCAATGTTGCGGTCTACCACGGCGGCACAGCATGGCCAGATATTGACAACACCGCATACCAAGGAAGCATCGGCGTCGCTAAGATCTCGCACAGCCTGGGCGTGTCGCTGTGCTGAGCTCTCCTGCGGTTGCCGCTGCCTTTACGTCGGATGTGGTCTCCTGGTCTCTCCATCCACAGATCACAGTTCGGCGCGGATCTGAGGGAAAGGACCCAGGAAGACCCAGGAAGGAGGATGAATGATAAACGGAGCCCCCATACTCAGGAGGGGGGGAGGAACACGGCACACAGACCGGACGCGCAGGCGCACGGCGATTTCTTCTTGTGAGTCAGGGGTGGTTACGCTCGTGCCAACGCTTGATCCGAGAGCGCTGCGCGTTGGAGTGCGATGTCGCGCCTGGCGCCGCCATCGGGCGTCAGGCTTAGATAGGTAGGGGATCTCGCGCACCAATCAAAAAGCCCTACCTACCTACCTATCCCCAGGCCGCGCAGCGAAAATAGGGGGGTACCTACGTGTTGCAGGGCGGCCCGCCTCCCTCTGGGGCGGTCAAAACTGGACCTACCTACCTATTGCATAGGGTGTCACGGGGGTCAACAGACCCCCTATCTGGCTAGGAGCCGGAACCCAGCCCAGCCAGCCGAGCGGCCCTTTCACGCCGCCGCAATCCGAATTTTCCCACGCACCAAATGTGGTGAAGCCTCTGGGGGGGGTCGGACCCCCCCCCCCCCAGCATGTGGTGTGAGTAGAAGTGCGCCCTCCTCCAGGCGCACGGCGATTTCTTATTGTGAGACCGCCTCTCAGGCTGGACCCGGCCGCCTGGAGATGAGCGAGGCAGGCAGCTCTGATGGGTACGACGAGATGTCCTGCTCCCAGGAGGACACCTCGGATCCCGAGGAGGAGATCTTCGACTCGGAGCCCATTCGGCAGCAGACGCAGACCTTCACCGTGCTCGACGCCTCCGAGTGCCTCGCGCTCGCGCAGAAGGAGGTCGATGAGGTGAGGGAGCTATTATGCTGCAGCGAGGAGGTGGCCAGCATCCTGATGCGCCAGTTCCGCTGGAACCGCGAGAAGCTCACCGAAGGCGAGGAAGCGCCAGCCGCGGAGGCGTGCCTTCTAGCCTTGCGCTCACAGCGGCCTGCCACCCGCGCGCAGAGTACCTTTGCGACGCAGACAAGGTACTCAAGCGCGCGGGCATCCACCAGGGCGAGAACCTCGAGATCGTCCACGCCGACGGCGCTGTGGCCGTCGGCGGCACGTCTCAGCCGCGCGGGTCGCTGCCGGACGTGCAGTGCTTGATATGCTACGAGACGTCGGCCGACTACTCTGCGCTCGGCTGCGGGCACCAGTTTTGCAACACGTGCTACACCACCTTCCTGGCCCACAAGATCACCGACGAGGGCTACAACTGCGTCTTTGCTACGTGCCCAAAGCCCGAGGTGTGCCCAGCCCCGCTCAGCCGAGGCCCGCCTGCGCGCGCGCTCCCGCAGCCCGCGCTCTCTGCTGCCCGCACGGCTCGCGCGCGCTCTGCTGACCGCCGGCGTGGCGGCGCGGCGGCAGTGCTCGCTGGTGGTCTCGGAGCGGCTGGTGCACTCGCTCGCGCTGCCGGCCGACAAGCGCGCCATCTTTGACAAGGCGCGGCGCATCGAGCGGTCTTACGTCGACGACAACCCAAACCTCAAGTGGTGCACGGCTGCCGGGTGCGGCAACGCGATCCGCGCGCCAAAGGGGCACCTCGGCGTCAAGTGCTCGTGCGGGCAGCGCTTCTGCTTCAAGTGCAACGACGAGGACCACGCGCCGTGCTCGTGCGAGGAGCTGGCCAAGTGGATGGTCAAGTGCCGCGACGACTCGGAGACGTACAACTGGCTGATGTCCAACACAAAGGCGTGCCCCAAGTGCGCCACCTCGATCGAGAAGAATGGCGGCTGCAACCACATGACGTGCAAGAACTCCTCTTGCAAGTTTGAGTTTTGCTGGGTCTGCCTCGGCCCGTGGAAGGACCACTCGGGCTCGACTACCTAGATGCAGAACACGTCTCCTTGTCTCCCAACTCGCGCTCGAGAGGACATGGATTCCACTGTAAAGCGTTGTCGGCCGTATTCACTGTATTCGCCTCCCTCGTACTCACGCGGTGCTCTGAATACGCTGCACAACACCGTATTCCCGCCCTGAAGTTGGCGTATCCACCGCGCAGGCTCGTACTACTCGTGCAACCGGTACGACCCGGAAAAGGAGAAGGAGAACCCCGAGGCCAAGAAGAAGGACTCGTCGCGCGCCGCCCTCGAGCGGTACCTGCACTACTACACCCGCTTCACAAACCACCACAACTCGCTCAAGTTTGAGGTCGAGGCGAGGGCAAAGATGGAGGAGAAGATCAAGGAGATGGAGAAGCAGGGCGACAAGACGTGCGCGCGCCGCGTCGCCGCCCCGCGGCAGCCGCTCCGCCCCCCCCACCACCACCACCACCGAACACACACACACACACACACACACACACACACACACACACGCCACCCTCCACGCCCCTCCGCCTCGCGCACAGGTGGATCGACTGCACCTACCTGAAGGATGCAAACGAGGCGCTGTACGAGTGCCGGTACGCACTGCAGTACACGTGCGTCCTTCCCCCTCCCCCCCCCGGCCCCGGCCCCGGCCCCTGCCCGGGCACCGCTCCGAACCCCCCTTCTCGCCGCGCAGGTACGTCTACGCCTTCTACTTGCCGCAGGGCGGCAACTTCCGCACGCACTTTGAGATGAACCAGACCGAGCTCGAGCAGCAGACAGAGCAGCTGTCCGAGATGCTCGAGAAGGACGTGTCGGAGATCCACCGCGCAGAGGTGGTGCACTGCTTCACGATGGCAAAGACGAGGCTCACCAACTTGCTCGAGCTCGTCGCCGTCCGCGGATCGGGCTCCGCGACCGACACCTCGGGCGGAGCTGGCAGCAGCAGCGACCCGTGACCGCGGGGAGGACCCGCGGCGGCAGGGCAGGCGCTGAATGCATGGGGCGTGCGTCGAGGGGCCGGCGCCTCGCCGGCTGCTCGTCCTCGTCCTCGCGCCCCTCACAGTACTCTGACACCGTCTGACAAAACCATGGAGAGAGAGCTGAGAGAGAGAGAGCCGAGAGGGAGCAGAGAGAGTTCGTCCAATGAGACCGAGAGTCTGGAGAGAGGGATATGTACGAGAGTCGCGGTTGAAAAAAATCTAGGCGCAAAGCGCCGTATTCAAACACGACCAACGCTCCGAAGCGCAGCCCCCCGTTTCAGCAGAGCACCGACGCACGAACACCCACAAACTATCCTTTCAGCGCTTTGAGCGCGGCCACTTCTTGCTCGAGTGCCTTTACCCGCTTCTGCATCGCAGCGACGGAGCTGACGGTCTCGCTGCCGAGCGCTTCGATCCGCGCGTCTACTGCTCCCGCCGCAACGTAGATGTCCTGGTGCACGCGGTAGTAGCCAAAAGCGAGCGCGACGACACCGCCCGTGAGGAAGCTCTGGAAGTTTTGGCGGAGCTGCGGAGGCGGGGGAGGGGCGGGCTCGGGCGGGGCTGCAAGAAAACATGCCGCTACGCAGCGAGCGCACCATCGCCATCGCTCGGAGCGAGCAGCCCCAGGCTCGGCGTCCGACTCGCTGAGAAAAAGAATTGTGCGCGTCGTGCGCACTGGCGCTCCCCACGCTAGTGAGGAGGAGGAGAGCCCCACCTGTGCCCCTGGTCGTCCTTCCAAAATCCTGCTCGTGCAGGTGTGGACCCGGTCCTCCTCCCCCATCCCTCGTTTGGGTTGAATCTCTTCTTTCTTTCTCTCTCTCTTTGGCGCTCCCCACTCCCGTTCCCCTGTGTCCCTGATCGTCCTTCCGAAATCCTGCTCGTGCAGGTGGGGAGCCTGTCCTCCTCCCATCCCTCGTTTGGCATGCCTGTTTTCTTTCTTTTCTGCCACGAACACAGAAAAACAGAAAAACCGCGCCATTCGCTCTCACCTGGCAACCCTGTCTGCACGTCTCGCGCGCGCGTGAACAGGGCTCCAGGCCCCAAATGACGTGTGAGTGTTAGATTTGTTTGGTATTGCTAAAATCTCTCTCTCAGAAAAAGAACTAAAAAAATGGAGAACGAAGTGACTAAAACAACACTGGGCACGGGACTATCGCGCGGTGTTGCAACGGGGGTTGCAACAACGACGCGTGACGCGCCGTTTCGCGTTTGGATTTTTGGAATTGTCGCTGACGCGGCACGCGGGCGGCGGGGTGAGACTGAGATCGTGTATGACGCGCGAGAGACACGAGATAGACGTGTCGAGACTCGCGAGTGACGCTGACGGGCGCGCGGCGGTGGATCGTGGTCTGAGAGAGAACATAGCTCGTCGGGTCTGTCATTTTTTATTGGCATGAGAGCCATTCGTTGACACGCACCGTCTGTCTCGCTCCTACCAGCTGCAATCCGAGTGTCACTGCTCGCTGGCTCTCGCTCTCGCGCCCTCCCGGCTGGTGCCTAGCGCGGCACGGAGCCTCCCAGAGACGCCTACATGTCCTCGAGTGCACGCGCACCGCCTGGATCTGGCGAGCTAGGGTTGGCCGCGGGCGGCTCGTGTAGTGACAAGGTCGGGAGGCGTGAGAGGAGAGGGCCTGCGTGATCACTCATCATCCTCTGGCATCAGAAACCTCTGCCAGTCCTCGCGGTAGCACTCGCCGCCGCGGATGGGGTCGAAGCCGCACTTGTAAAAGGTGCCGTCGGCCGAGACGACGAGGAAGGAGTTTGTGTTCTCCGGAGCAAAGGCGCAGATCGTGCGGGTCAGCGCGCGCTCGGAGCCTAGAGAGGCTCGCCGCCGTGAGCACACCGTCCGCACTGGGGGAGGGGGAAGACGTCGCGGCGGCGCGCGTGGGGGAGGGCGGGGCGGTGAGGGCAAGCGCGAAGAGGAAGGGCCGCGAGAAGGGAGGGGGGGAGTGCGGCTCAGTGGAGGGGCGGGAGGAGAGGGCGGGGCGGGGCGGGGCGGGGTGGTTGGGGCGGGGCGGGGTGGGCCGGGATGGGGCGAGGTGGTTGGGAGGGGTGGGGTGGGGCGGGGTTGTTGGGGCGGGGCGGGGCGGGGAGCGCCTGGCATCCGGAACTGCGCAAAGCTCCACTGGGACTGGATGTAGGTTGGCACGAGCGACTTTGGCAGCAGCGAGCCGAGGAAGGAGAGGCTCGACCTGCTCGGGAGAGGGGGGGGGGGGGGATGGGGGAAAGGGGGGGGGGGGGGGAGATGTCGCCGAGGAAGGGGAGGCTCGACCGAGGGTTGTCCGGCGTGTCGGACGGGTAGGCGAGCGTAGTGGCGGGCACCGGCGGGGTGAGCTCGGGCGCCTGGTCGGCGTCGCCCTCCTGCAGCCGTGTATGGCGGCGTGGTGTGAGAGACAGCCGAGAGACAGCCGAGAGACAGCCGAGAGACAGCCGAGAGACAGTCGAGAGATGCAGCCGAGAGACGGCCGCCCTCCTGCAGCTTGAAGACGTGTATGGTGCCGTGGTCCGAGCCGACGAGCAGCCAGCTCGAGTCGGCGTGGAAGTTCATGCACTGTTCACAGCTGCAGGTGTGAAGAGACGCCGTTCACAGCTCCGGAGGGACCACGCCGGTGTACTTGGATGGCGGCGGGCTCGGCGCCACGTCGCAGCTCCATCAGCCGCTGCCCCGAGCGGGTGTCCCAGACCCGCACCAGCGTGCCTATGCGGGACGTGTCGCGGACGTGTCCGAGACCGGAAGGGGACGCGTGCCCGCACCCCCCGCGCCAGCGTGCCTCGCTCCGACGCCGTGGCGAGCCGCGTCCCGTCCGGGTTGAGGGCGATGCAGGAGAGCGAGGCCTATGATGTTACACCAGAGTGTGTGATGTCGCATTGCATACGAGCTGAGGGCGATGCAGGAGAGCGACGCCTCGTGCGCGGAGATGAGGGTCGTGCGAGTGATGTCGAAGAGCTCGGCGCGCACGTGACCCTTTTGCAGCCCGCAGCAGGCGATGACGCACGCGCGCGAGTCCGCGCAGAGCGAGCAGAGCCCGCGCGGGTTCGAGATTGTCTCAATCGTGTGCAGCAGGTTCAGGTCTGCAAAGATGTGCACGGAGGTATAGCCGAGGTGAGGTATAGCCGAGGTGCAGCCGAGATATGGTCGCCCTCCTGCAAAGTTGTACACGTAGATCCGGTACTCGAGGACAACCACGACTCGCTCGCGGCTCATGCGGACCGCCTTGACCTCCGACCGGAAGGAGAGCTCGCCTAGAGAAGCCAGGGCTCGGGATCGAGTCCGCCTCCGCCTCCTTGACCCCCCACACCAGGCACGGCTCGCCGATGCAGCGGTTTTGGTGGTCGTCCCAGATCATGACCTTGTTGGGCGGGTAGCGCGGGTTGCGGCCGCCGCCGACGAGGGCGAGGATGTTGCAGCGGAAGAGCATCTCGACGATCCCAATCCCGCCGTTGGTAAAGTCTGCGGCACGACCGGCCAGCTCACGTCGCGCGTGCGGCTCCGGTGTGTGTGGATCCGAGGAGGAACGCGTGAGGCGGATAACTGTGAGGCGCGCACCTCTGCGGTAGGTCTGTCGGAAGGGGTCGCAGTTGAAGATGCGGAAGCCCGAGTCCGTCCCGCACGCGAAGCAGCCATTGTCCTGGTTGAAGCCGACGTATAGCACTGCGGGGCCGCAGCAAGCGTCAGGCAAGCACATGGGCGGCAACACGGGCGCGCGCGGTGGCGGCGGCTCACATTCGGAACACTGTTGAGAGTCGAGGCGCAGCATTGTTTTGCGAACAACGTCGCTGACGGCCGGTGAATTGGGAATACCCCCGTCCGCTGTCTGCTGCTCGGAGCGCAACCGGCCAAGCTGAGCGGGCGGGCCTTGTTGGGCGATCAGAAAACAAATGCAGTCGGCCAGCCGCCCTCGCTTTTGCAAAGCGCCTGTTCACGGCATGGAGGGTGAGCCACACCGAACGTACCGAGCGAAGGGCCGAGCGGAAGGAGGACGGGGAAGATGACTCGGAGGAGGACGAACCAGTGGAAATTCAGTTGTCAGATGTCACGATGCACCCGAAGGGGACCCCAGCGCCGGCATCATCCGTAGAGGCACGAGTGTTCGAAGAGAGAGTGGACCTGAGCAACAACATGACGTGTAGGCAAATGATCGGAGTGGGAGTCAGAAATGTGGTCCTTGCGCGAGGGGAGCTTGATAGACTCGAGGGGCCAGGATACGCCGCGAGGAGGACGGAGTTGCGCAAGGCGAAAGAAGCCGCGAGAACAAGGGACCGGCAGGCGGCGGCGTCGCAGGACGAGGCAGAAGAGAACGACGCGACAGAGGAGGAAGTGACAAGGGAGAGACCGACGAGAGTGGGACGGCCGCGAGGTGGCATGAAGGTTGCAGCGAGAAGCGGCGAGAGACTGCGAAAAGAGATACGAAGAGGCAGACTCCCCAGGGTGGGCGACGGCTAGCGCACCACACACCTCTCCTTAAAATCCCTGTGTGGTGGCGGCGTGCCGTTCTCCCATCCCTCCCTTGGGTTGTGTGTTTTCTTTCTTTCTTTTGCAAAATCCTGCAAAGGTGGGGAGTCTGTCCTCGACCCAGCCTTGAAGTCCGTTTTATTTATTTATTCTCCCGGCCGGCGCGCGCGGGGGCGGCGGGTGTGTGGGATGTCTGTGGGGGCCCGAGAGCGATGCATGTGTGTGTCCGTGTGTCCGCCTTGCGCTTGTTTCATAAGCGCGAAGGCTAGCTCAAAAACAAATTCTCTTCCGTAGTGTACCTGTGTTATTGCCAGTGCGTGCCAGTCCCGTGCCCAGTGTCGTGCGAGGGAGCTGCGTGGTAAAATTCTTGTCCTGCTCGGATTTTTTGCGAAACTCGTCCGTCCGCTCGTAGCTGCAACCCGCCTGTGCAACGCGGACGGCACAATGGCAGCCAAGCCCCACGCTCCGCGGCTGCCCTCGGGCGATGTTCTCATCGGCAGGGGCGACCGTGTCGTCTCGGTCGCGTTCGTCAAGATCCACGTCTACGCGCTTGGTCTCTATGTCGAGAGCGCAGGATGCCGTGCGGCCCTCCTGCCAAGGTTCGCGGGGCAGAGCCACGACGAGCTGCTCGCCGTCGGGCCCGAGTTTTTCGCCCAATTTGTGGGCGGCTCCTTCAAGAAGACGTTCCGGCTCGTCTTTTGCCGCGCCCTCCCCAAAAACAAGCTCGTCAAGGGGTTCGAGGATGCCTTCAAATCCCGGTGCGACGCAGAGCACAAGGCCGACGCAGATCGGGTGCTGGACGCGCTCGTGCCTGACATCGGCGTGGCAGAGGACGACGTGCTGACGATACAGCTCGAGGCAGATACCAAGACGCTCTCCATCTCCTTCCACTCGGCGGCCACGCAGGCCGAGGACAATCGGCTGACCATGGAGAGCGGTGGCGAGGGTGGATGCTGGACGGCCTTCCAGAGGATTTTCTTTGACGATGATACCCCAGTCCCCACCATCCGCCACGGCGCCATCGCAGATCTCCCCGACGTGCTCGCCGGCGAGGGCAACACGGCGGGCGAATCACGCGGCGCGCTCACGCGGCAGCCCACCGCAATGCAGATTGAGGCGGCCGTCGATCGGGGGCTCTCGCACGTGCAGCGGAAGCAAATGACCTGGAGCGAGTTTGCAGGCCGTGACGACGGAGGTTCGGGGTATCGCTTTGGCGAGCACGAGATGGCCTTCTCGCCGTCATGTCAGGGACGCGTCCATGACACGTCCGCTCGCATGTCTCGTAGGCGACATCACCCGAGGCCTGCTTCTACAGCTGCAAAAGGGCAAATCGCCAGGCGACAAGAAGTCGCCCCTCAGGTCCCCCAAGTGGGGTGGCGGCGGTGGCAGCGGAGGTGCGGCCGTGACCAGTGCGGAGCTGCAGCTAAAGAACCGCGAGCTGGCTCAAAACATCGCAGTGCTCGAGGCTGAGAAGGACAAGCTAGTCAAGAACCTGAGCCGAGAGGCCTCGGAGCGGGCGCGCGTGCTCCCGGTGCTGGTTGTGGCGCTGTTCCTCCTGGTTGAGCTCGTGTGCGGCGTTCTCGGCTCCGATCCGGCCGCACGCTGGGAGGCGGCCATGAGGCATTCGCTGCTCGCGGCCGGCGCAGCCGCGCTGCCAAAGTTGATAGATCGCGTCATTCTCGTAGGGGAGCACGCGAAGACGAAGTCAGAGTAAGGTGGTACGGAAATCAGGGGGGGGGGGGGGAGGAGTTGGAGCACTAGCTCTAAGGAGTGTGGACCAGCTGTGGAAAGTACACGCACGCACCAGCCGCTATTTAGAAAGAAAGAAAGAAAACGGACAACCCAAGGGAGGGATGGGAGGACGGCACGCCGCCACCACACAGGGATTTTAAAGAGCCGCTATTTAAAGCACGATAAAATTCTTTTTCATGCCGCGCGTTTTGGGAGGGGAATCGATTGAGCGCGCCGCGTGCAGCCGGGCACGGAGTTGAAACCATGGCCGCGGCTCGCCTTATGCCGCACCTCGGCGCCTCCTACGGCGCACCTCCGGAGGAGAAGAACGGCTACGCGCCCCAGTGGGTGCGCGACATCGAGTATGGCCTCACAGGGAGCCGGTGGTGCGGCATCGGCAACCCGCCGTCCGTTTGGTCGGGCGAGTGCGTCGTCGACGCCCAGGACGGCGCATGCAGGCGGCACGACCTGTGTGGGGTGGTGGAGAAGCTGCCTCCGCCGATGGTCGGGCTCGCTCTGGCGTGCGCGTGCGACCGCGACCTCTACGTGAACTCGCCGTCGCATGTCGTGCAGGCGCTCTACGGCGAGAGCTCAGGCTGGCCGTGCGTGGACTGTGTGTTCGAGCACGGGCCCGACCAGCCCTGCACGAAGACATTCAAGTTCAGCAAAAAGTACGACAGCGTGTACGAGGGCTGGCAGGGGTGACCGAGCCTCCACCCCGCGGCTGCTGCCAAGCCTCCCGTCGACTCCGGTTCGCGCCCCGCCAGGCTGTACAAGGTCGACTCCCTGGACGGCTGCCCGCTCAACAACCTGACCTGCAACACTTGCACTCCACCTCCGCCCAGGCCGGCGCCGCCGCCCTCGCCGCCCATCGCGCCCTCCAGCTGGTTCTCGCCGTTCGAGCGCATCCCTGGAGGGTCGCTTGGCCGCTGGGCGGCCATCCTCCCGTCGCCTCGCTATTCCTTCCACCACCCCGGCTCGCGCGGCGTCGTCGCCCTTGCCGACGGCTCGTCGCTCGAAGGGGAAGCCGCGCCGCCGTCGTGGCTGCCGTCGCTCGTGAACGCTGGAGCGCTCCCCGCGACTCGGAGCTTGCGAGGAGACTCTGCCGCTGCTGCCGCCGCCGCCGCCGCCGTCGGCGGCGTTTTTCTCGCCGTCGCGTTGCTCCTGCGGAAGCGGCAATGGACCGCAAATGAACTGCTTTGATCTCCTCCACGCTGCGCGGGCTTCACCAGCTTTTGCGCGCTATAACCTATATGTGTCGACACATTAGAGTAGGTCACAGCTGTGTGCCAATCTTTCGCATATTCATATCCTGCGGAGCAGGTGTACGTGCATTTGTTTATGACCGCGCAAGACAAAGGGTGGCTAAGGGCTCTGCCCGCAAGGCGCCCGCGTCGCCGACTTAGGGGACCCCTAGGCTTAAAAGGGTGGGCCCTGGGGCGCCTGCGGCTTAAACGGCTTAAAACTTGCCATGGCAAGTTTTAAGAGCTGCTGGGCCGCCAATTCCTTAAACGGTCTTAAACGCTTAAACGGTGCGGGAGAGCTCCCGAGGTCGATGGTCCGGGAGGCTCCCGGTAGACGCCGGAGGCCGGGAAGCTGGCTACAGTCAGCTGGCACGCGTCCCCTATGCGAGTATGGCTCCTGCCAGTGCACCAGACTTACAGATGTGTCTTCAGAGGCGGGTTTGTGCCTAATAACGGCAGTATTGGAGAAAACGGCGCGGAACCCAGCGACGCGTGCCGGCGAGGCCGATTTTCTTAAACGGTCTTAAAAGAGGGACCCCCCGTGCCTGCAATCTCTTAAATGGCAAGTTAAGCCCCCAAACCTCCTCGTTTCTTAAAAGGTCTTAAAAAATCCGGCCCTCAGAACCCTAGGGGTCCCCTAAGGTCGCCGACGCGGCGGTACCAGGTTTGACAATTGACTAATCCCGCAATACACACACCCCCACACGAGACGACCAAATAGCGAAAATCCGAATACCGTGCAAAAACCACGGAATCTCGGACGAAGAACGTCGGGGCAAGTTTGGCAAACGCTAAACATGGGCGATCCGGCGCTTCCTTCGATTGGACGGACGAAATGGTCGCGGAAAGCGGGACCCGGCATCGCGACATCGCGGGTTCACCATATGCCGAGCCTGCTCGGCCTGCCATGCGCGCGCGCGCCTCGCCCGAGCGCAGCCACCTGCGGACCTGGCCAGCCTGTTCCTGGCTCGTGCCCAGCCTCTCCTTCCGCTGCCGCCGGCCTCGCAGTCCCGCCAGCCATCACGCTGCAGAGCCTGCGTAGACGCCACAGACGCCAATTCTGCAACCCACAGCCCCGGCAACTGAGGGCGAGGGCCAGCAGTATACGACGACGATGACATCTCACACCCCGCGCTGGCCAGCGCCATCAGCCCCTCTCACGGCCCGGCCCAACCTCCCTTCGCTAGCGCCGTCGCCTCCAGCGCCTCCAATCAAGTCGCACCTCTCTTCTTCAGCGAATGCAGCGGCAGCACCACGTCATCAGAGGCCGGGCGGACTGGCGGACCTGCATGCCCAGCCATGCCCCCCACTCCCCACCCGCTTGGATCGATCAGCTGACAGCTCCACCAGCTCCCACCAACCACCGCGTGGCGTGTCATGGAAGCAGGATAGACAGACATAGAAAGCATGAACCATCGAAATGTCTGATCTCCAAAAAGAGCTGTCGGCCTGCCGCGCGCGCCCGCGCCCCGCCCCTTTTGCGCAGCAAAACCTTAAACTTCATGGCCCTCCAAATTCGGGTCGGAGCGTAGCGGAGTGGGACCCGAGTTTGAAAAAGGCGACGGACGCTTGCGTCCTAGCCTAGGCATTCCTCGAAGAGCTCCCCTCCGTCTATGTTCCACTTCCACTTGAACGCCGCCCCGGCCTCGTCCTCCTCGGCCCCGCTCTCCGTCGCCGAGGCCCTGACAGCAACGCGATGGCCCAATGCGCCGATGCGCTCGGCTCTCCATGCTCTGTGCCTCAC